ATGTATTATGAGGAGAAAAAGGTGTGTTCAGCTTGAGACCCTTGAGAGAGTTGTATTTGACAAAGGAAAACCTTCAAAGGGAAAACAGTTTTCTTAAGGAAGGCAAATTAGGGTATGCTGTTGTTCTAAGGAACCAATGTAAACGTAGCCTAGAGTACTAGCAAATTGCAGGCTTTCCTAAGTTGTAGCTATGTTAATGCTGTGTCAGAAATGCCCAGTCAGCAACAATCCACATTGTCTGAACCATCAGCTTTGTACTAATGAGGAATTCTTCTGGAAATTCAAAATGTTCTTTATTGTGAAGAAAGAGCCAAGCTTACCCAGCCAGCATCTTCACCAATAGGGTTAATGCATATTGGCAGTAGGAATGAGAGGTAGTGCAGGACTAGAAATAGAAGCCTGTGCCTTCTTCACCAAGAACTGATTCTTTGCTGTCCTTGGCAGGAATACCTCATTCATAGTTCTGAAGTGCAAAAATTCTGGCTCTAAGGAGGGTATATCTAACTTAGTTTTGCTTGCAATTTTTTTTGCCTTGTCGTAGTATATCCATGTGTTCCTGAATGAAGTCACTATTATAGTTGAAGTTCTGAATGAAGCCAAACATTCCTTTGCACTTTATACACCTGAAAGGACAAAGCAGCGGTGGCCAATCCGCCTGGCAGCTGCAACGGAGCAAGAAATGCATGACTGGGTAATTCTGTGTATTTTTTATTTCAAGATGGCAATATCTGCAATAAAACATAAAGCTAGTCTCTGAATCTCAGCATTACATTTAGAGTATCTAGGCTACTTACCTGTTTTCAGAATTTAGGTATTTAAAAAGTCTGTTCAAACTTAGAGGCACCTGAAGCTTCGTTTGTCCACTGGAGTTTGCATGCTTTCTGATGCTGCCACTGCTATCTATAGTAAAACTAACATTGCTTTTTCTTCCCCTTCTATCTCCAGATATAGATTAGGCTATGAGTTTAATTCAGTTAGTCTGTTCTTCTGCATTGGTAGAAAAACTGTTATCTGTTGTCACTGTTGTAGAGCCTTATGTATAGGCAGGCATATACACAGTGCAGCAAAGGAAGCCCTGAATGATAACTTCATAATGACCAGATACTGCAAACACAGTAGTTCCAGTGATTGTTAATAATTTCCAAAACACTGAATTCTGGTGCTTTTGCGAAAAAGCTGCAAATTCACTTCACTGATTTGCAAGAACATGCAAAGGTAAAACTTTGTTTCATAAAACTGAAGCATCCATGCAGAAGTTTTTGTTACCACTGTAAATGGAAGCTTTTGGTTCTGTGCTTCCTGTTTTGTAGCTGTCTTTGCTGAACATGTCCTGTTGTGAAAGCAGACGGATTCAAGGCCCTCCTTCTCACCACGCCATTTGGTCAGTTACTTGTAAAGGAGACATCTTTGTTAGTGAGCCAAGTCCTGAACTGGAGGACGGACCACAAGTGATGCCGTGTGATCAGATGTAAGAGGTTTCAGAAGCTGTTCTTTCTGCATGGGATGCCATGCAGCAAAGACTGTCTTTCATGTCAATTTGGTAACTTTGATTGGCTGTCAGAGTATATATAGTACACTGCAGATGTCTTTCAATGACAAGGTTAATGGCTGCCTTCATATTCATGATTTCATGTGAAGAAATTCACCAAATCTTATTTGAATTTTTAGATGCTGGAGCTACTCATGTGATTTCATAAGCCTTTCTCATTGAGATGCCATTTTTTGGTGATTGCATCTTTCATGCCTAAATTACTTAAATTAAGAGATGACCTAGTCTAAAAGTAAACATCACTGTAATTGTAGTGGAATTTGAGTTTTCAGTTTTATCAGAGTCAGGACTGAAATTCTCAGTCCTTCGTAGTCGCTACGGTCTGGGAGCAGCTTTACAGTTTTGATTACAACTATGCCAATATAGTACTGCCAACTCTTCTAGCAGAAACATAGCAGTCTCAGAAATGGAGGCTTAAAGGCCAGTCTTCAATTTAAAAAATATACGCAGTTTCACGTTACTCGCAGAAAATGCCTTTTAATAATACTAAGAAATCCTTTAGTCCTTTTTCTTCAGGGTAGAGCACCCTAAACCTCTGGCAAATCACAAAGGTGATGTGCTCTTGCATCTTAGTTTGAGGGATCCATGACCTAGATGATCTCGTGCCATTCTGGTAACTAAAATATTCTTCTACAATCTCTTTACTTTTCCCATTCTTCCCCAGAAAGGTACCATGGCTAACTGGCTGTGTAAAACCCCAGAAAGGGATTAACCTGTAAAGATTAGGAAAATAGGAAGAATCAAAGCCCTTGTTTTTACCAAGCTCCATAGCAAACACATAAGTAATTTGCTATCTTGTTATAAAGGCAATTCCTAGATATAAAAAATAAATAGAGGATGAAATTAAAGCTGAGGCAGTTGATGGCCACCAGGACATAAGGATTCCAGAAAGACTGTCCTAACTAATGTAAAATAAAAAAAAATAAAAAAAATATATACATAAAGAAGCACAAGCACAAAGTAAAAGTAAAATACTTCCAAGCCCCAGAATTCCAAGTGAAGGCAGATGGGTTCCTTACATCTACTTTTCAGTGGTTGTCCAGAGGGAAATGCTTTCCACTGGCAACAGCCTGCACTTACAGATTGCACAGAGGTTGAACAAGCGTGTATGTGAAGTTGAGTTGCAGGAGGGGAGAGCATACATTCCTGATGGATGTGGTGCTGTCCTTTTTTTGGCAGGTTTTGGCGTCAAGTTGGAGGTCATCTTCGACTGGTAGAGTGCAATAACCAAGGCATAGTGTGGGGCATAGGATATGATCACACAGCTTGGGTTTACACTGGTGGATATGGAGGTGGCTTCATTCAAGGTATGGACATTGGTCTGCTGTGGTGTGCATGTTTCTTATCTTCCTGACTGGGTCAGCTTATTCACGCTATTTCAGCTGTCTGTCCTTTAGCCTAACAGGTAAGGTTATACAGTGAAGAGGCCAAACATTAGGAAGGAATCAGTATTGCAGTTTAAGAGCGAGAAACAGGATAATCTGCAATATTACTGCGCCTGTTGGAATTTAAGATGTACTTTCTTTAAGGTTTAGCTTTAATATAATCCAGATGATTTATTTCTTAACAGGGCTGGCCAGTAGTGCTGATAACATTTATACACAATCAGATGTGAAATGTGTTTACATCTATGAGAACCAGCGGTGGAATCCAGTCACTGGATATAGCAGCAGGTTGTTTATTGTATTTATTTGCCATTGGTTTTTACCACTGTCAAATGAAACAAGGGGTTTGTTTTAGCTTTTTAGAGTAGTTATTACAGTTACTCTGTCTTCAGTCTCCTCCAGCATTTATTGTTAACCTGAGATGGAAGGAGCAGTGTTTCTCAGTTTTCTAGATTTGTAATTATGCATTCAAAATGCATTTGTAGCAGAACCTTACAAATTTGTGCTTTGCAAGTGCACAGTGTGCCTACTTGAAACATTTTTCATTATTAGGGTCATACAGCAAAGTTTTGACTAGGATATATACATTCATATATATTGCGCTAAATACATTGGGTCCTTGAATAGTATATTTAAACAAAAGTATTGAAAAAGCATTCACACACATGAGTGTTTATGCCAGAAAAAACTCAGGATTCACCTTCCAGTTTTAAATAGTAGTAAGGAACATCACTCTACAGAGAAAAGTTTACACAGTCCTTAAGTTTGGTGTAACTGGAAGCAATTGTGCAGGTTCTTTCCCACTATCCTCATCACTCACGTGATATTTCTAAATACAGAAATTAATGATGGAAGACTGTTTAATGTATGAAAGTAGGGAGTGCTATAAGTAGGCTTTTCTTCCCTCACCTTTCAAATTCCCTGTTGTAAATGACCTTGCATTCCTTGTATGCAACAGAGGCCTGCCCACAGACAGATACATGTGGAGTGATGCATCTGGCCTGCAGGAATGCACAAAACTCAACACCAAACCTCCTTCTCCACAGTGGACTTGGGTAAGTTTTGTCTTAGAGGTCTTTTCTCAAAGAAGGCAAAGCTTAGCGAGTAGGATACAAGACTGGGACTTAAATAACCCAGATTTTCTTTCTGGATTTGTCATAATACTTAACCTTGGTTTCCCCATTTACACAATAGTAATCTTCCATAATCAAAAGAATGTATTGCACTGAGTGGGACTCTTGTTTAGGAGGCTTTAGACTGCTGCTCTGATCCTTTTCTCTTCAACTAAATTAAAGAGACTAGGGAATTTAAATTAATTTATACTGCAAGTATTAGGTTTCTAGCAAGGCACTGCACTCCAAAAGGTGGAGGTAAAGGGTGAAAGAGGTTGTTTTCATTATATAGTAGGTGTAGATTGTGCTTATTATTCTCACTGTCTCCTTTTGACAATAGGTATCCGATTGGTACATTGATTTTAATACTTCAGGAGGAACCGATCGGGAGGGCTGGCAGTATGCAGCAGACTTCCCAGCGTAAGTGATAACTTTTTCTACCTAAGATACTTGCAGGCACATGCCATACTTAAGTCCTTGTTTCTTCTTGATTGCTGTTTTGCGTATTAACTGTGCTTTAACAGGGACAAGCGTGCCTTGATTTCTTGCTTTTCATGGGGACACTAACACTGACATTCACTGGGGAGGCAGGGCAGCAAGCTGAGGCTAGCAAATACAGTCTCAAGTGTTTTAGAGTCAACAGGGATGTCTGGTGGACAGATAGATAGGCAGTGCTCTCAGGCTGGCACTGACAGTGGAGGTGCTCTTACATGCTCATGAACACCTATTTAAATCTCTTTTGGTAGGTCTTACCATGGTCACAAGACAATGAAAGACTTTGTCCGACGGAGGCGCTGGGCAAGGTGAGGAATTTATAAATAAAAGTTTGGAACTTGAATGCTAACTGTTCCCTGGAAGTGTCCTTTAGTTACAAGGGGGAGAGTCTTGTCACCCAGTCAACAAAAGCAATAGTAAAGAAACCTGTAATAAGTAACCCATCTCCAATAGAGAATCTGATGATCTTTAGCACTATGGCTTTAATTTTAAGCCTTTACAGGTAGATATCCTATTTGATTTTGTGGGATCTGTAGTTAGTGTGTATTCATTGTTTTTCCAGCTTTTCTATGCTTTCTGTACTAGAGCATCTGCTAGTCATGGTAATAAATTGCTGTGGACTTCTGCATTGTTCTGTTTGCTGTTGATGCTACATAGCTTTTTTTGTCCCTTGCACAATGATCTTTGAAGGAAGGTCCTGAAGCATCAAGCTGTTGTTCCAGAATAGGCAATAAAAGAAATTACATCCAATCAATCACAGGGGTGACCTGAAATAAAATAAGCAACTTGAAAAATACCCTCAAGTCTAAACACTTCCTCTTGTTTTAATTATCAATAGAAAATTGAAAATTAATAGGGAACAACTTAAGGCTGGATCCAGTTTTTCAGAACTGGAGGATGGAGGGATGTCCAGTGTTTTTTAGGACATTCTTCATACAAAGAAATCACTATTGTGATGATATTTCTGAAATAGCACTACTTTGTTGCAGTTTCCACAGAAAAAATACACCAATTCCCAGAAAGACTTACCTCTAACTCTTCTCTCTGCCTGCCTTAAGATGCTATGTAACTTTTTAACAGGCCCCACCAAAAAACTAATTGTTAGGTAATTTCCTTAACCAAGACAGGAAGGAATGAACCAGGTATGGAGTTCTGTCTGCAGCTGGATTCTCCAATCCAGCTGTTGCCCAGTGAGTTAGAGCCAGGAAGCAGTGTAGCACAAACTTCAGCGTTGGGTTTACAAAGTTTTTAAAACCAGAAGCTTTGAGAAATCAGTAATATGTCAAAATTCAAAACCTCATGCAAAACATGATTGATTGTTATAAACCTCCTTGAAATTAAAAATACTAATGCCTACTTAATGAAAAGACTTCAGGATTGTTTGCACTGAAGTCAACAATGGACCAGGAAACAAATTCAGTTGTGGAAAGTATGTTGTTGTGACGGGTTTGTTTTTTTTTTCTGCTTCAGAAAATGTAAGATAGTCACCAATGGGCCGTGGCTGGAAGTGCCTCCTGTTACCCTGTGGGACATCTCCATAATTCCCAGTACAGATGCAGATAGTGAAGAAGCAGTAGCACTGTGGGCAATCAGTGACAAAGGAGATGTGCTCTGCAGGCTTGGAGTGACACAGCAAAATCCAGCTGTAAGGCTCCCTGTTTGTTTTTACTGCCTTATTGATGTTTTTAATATGATTATGCAAGTACATACACACAATCACGCAGTGCCTTCTCTCAAGGCACCTTGTTATTTTTTTCCCTTATATCTCCCAGATTTGAAAGTCCTTGTCGGTCATCTGTAACAGTTTGCTGCCCACATTTCTTATAATAGTGCTTCTCTTGCATAATCTACCTTAGCTTATGCCACATCACCTGCAGGAGCCTCTCTCAGCTCCTGTACATCTTGTGAAGCATTTCACTTTCACTTTTTGCACTGACAGCTTTGTTCCTTTTTTAATTGTTGCTAATGTGTGCATCCTATTTAAATGAACTGTTGAGGAACAGAATTTCTCTGAAGTATGGACCCATATTTCTAATGCCTGTTGATACCAGAGGGAGTTTATCCTTTGACTTTTCTGGCCTGGAACTGACTTTACTTACTGAAGACAGATGGGCTTGGACTGGGACAGAAACAATGACTGCACATCCAGTAAAGTATGCAGAAAGGAACAAATAGTCCCAGTAACTTCAACAGGAGTACTTATTTCCTACTAATAGACACATACTGAAACATCAGGTTATGGTTGGTATGTGCTGATTTTAAGCCATATTTACAACAGGACAAAATGTAACAATATACTTCAGTGGAATTTGGGGGGAAAACTGCAAAAAGTTGAAAACTTACAGGATTTTTTTATTTTTCTCCCTGTTCGATCAGTTGCAGTAGAACAGATCTGTAAAGCAGTGCAACAGCAAGAACTGGAATACTGTGTCTGGAATGTGAAGTCCTGTATCAGTTGATTTTTGTAAGACCCATTCTGCATAATCAAAACCAAGGGATTATTAAAAAAAAACAAAAAACAAACGACTAGCCCAGCTATTCAGAGACATGCAGGTGCCTAAATTCCAGTGATCTCAACATTAAAGGCCCTGTTAAGAGTCTAACACTGCTATTCTCATATAGTTACATATCCAAATATCTTTGAGGATCAGGGACCTCGTTTCTGTTCAGTTGTACAGGTAGGTAAGGATTATTCTTCACAACATTTTTCACTGTGTAGGGTTTGTCTCATTTGGTAATAATCCATGATATTTTGTCATGGAGTTCTGAACAACTGCTTCACAATTCACCTTCTGTGGTTTGTTAGGGAACATCCTGGCTGCACGTGGGAACAGATCAGCCCTTCATTTCCATCTCAGTTGGAGCATTTTACCAAGTGTGGGCTATTGCTAGAGATGGTTCTGCCTTCTATCGGGGTTCAGTGTCCCAAAAAAAACCTGCAGGTAAGTGCTTGCACTTTTTTAATATGGTCTTCATCTTACAGATTGTGTAAGCTCTACTACACTGCCATTTCTGAAAAAGACAAATCTGTTTAGAAGAGGTCTTTCCAATAGCTGTGCAAAACAGTGCATATGAGCAACACTTGTGGTAATTTTAGCAGTTAATTTGGTCTTCACTTCTGTGATTTAAAGTGTTTGTTTCTAAAAACAAGCTAGTAAAAATATATTGTCATGTTTAGAGCTTTCTTGCACAGCTCTGTACTTCAGCCGCAGATATTTCTAAAACTTCCCATATATAACTCTGTTTTCTCAATGTTTGACTCAAGTATCTCTAACCTTTAGGTGACTGTTGGTACCATATTCCTTCACCTCAAAAACAGAAGTTAAAACAAGTCTCAGTAGGACGAACATCTGTGTTTGTGTTGGATAAAAATGGTAAGGACTTTTTAAAGTTATCTGTCAATGTAACAGAAAATAGATCAGTATACATCAGATTGAATTAAAAAGGAGATGCTAAGTGAGAGCACTTGTGCTTGGACAGATGGTTACTGTTGCTAGAGATGGAGTAGGCAGCCCACTGAAGTACTGCTTTTAAAGACTTGGGGTTTGTTGAATCTGATAGTGCCCTATGTAGCAACAGTCCAGCATCTGTGCTATTCTTGGGGGAAGAGATAGGTGAATGTCGAAGAGGAGAACTGCTTGGCAGGATTTTATCTAGGGTTTTACCTAGAACACACAAAACTGAAGAAGAATACTTGCCTGTTGCAAAATCTGGGAACAGCAGCATCATTGCAAGATAAATGATGAAGCATTTGTTTACAAAAGAAACAAGCCTTTAACACTACTCTCCTTCAAATCTCATTTGCTTTACGTCTCTGATGCATAGTTCCTTATGTGAACATTTTTCCGCAAGAAAATAAAACAGAGTATTTACTGTTTTCCAGAAAAGTTATAAAGAGTAACTATAGAAATACAAATTTGAAAGTAGGAACCTCATTATTCTTCACTGTAAGATATTAGTCAAAACCATAATGCATTTCCACAGAACATGGGAAGTATTAAGCATTGCTTTGTTATGTTGTTTACTAGCGTTTTACACCAAGCAGACATCCTGAGCTGTAACCAGGACTCCGTATTTTATAGGCAACCTTTGGTACCGGCAGGGTATCACACCTAGCTACCCTCAAGGATCTACTTGGGATCACGTTTCAAATAACATCCGTAAAATGTCTATAGGGCCCCTGGACCAGGTGTGTATCAAGCTTCCACATATCTCAGCAGTTATGCATAACATTCTTTTGGAATTAAATTAAATATTCTTCAGACTTGGTTTTATTTGATTAAGATGATTGTCTAAATACTGAAATCCTGACAGCAAGACAAAAATCATGCCAATGAAATAGTCATACAACCAGCCTTTTGCTAGGAAAAGCCTCACTTTTTTCCCTCTTACCCTCTAGTAAGGCTATTTTATATATTTAATCTCTTTCCTGTTAAGTCTTACTCTCTGGCAATGTTTTAATTATGACACTGGTATCTAGTTGTTTTTTTGGGGGTGTCTCTGACTACGTTAGAGCAGTTTCATCATTAACACTATTCAAGATCAAGACTGGTTTCTGAAAGTGAGGACACACTTAAAATTTTAACATCTAGAAGAGCAGCATGGAGAGCACATTTTATTGCTTCTCTTTGCTTTCTTGAGGTCTGGGTGATAGCTGACAAAGTACAAGGAAGTCATAGTTTGAGCTGTGGGACAGTCTGCCATCGGACTGGTGTTCAGCCAATGGAGCCTAAGGGCATCTCCTGGGACTATGGTATTGGGGTAAGTGCTGGGGACATAACACTGCCTAAAAGTTGTGTATCCAAATATCCGTAAGAGTGTTGGAACAGGAAAGTGCCATCCTGCTTAGCTGGCCAGCTTTCCAAAGTTGGCATATACCTGCAGGAAATGGACCTTTTTTTTTTTCAGCTTTAGGTTCATTTTATAAGTTAATATAGTAGGTGATGCAGTTGCAGCTAGGAAGTCATTTATTTGCATTTGATAAGTATTCATTTTAAATAGGTAATTTCAAAGTTACAATGAGAAAAGCAGTAAAGTAAGTGCCATTAAAAAAAAAAAACAAACAAAACAAAAAGTATCTTCCTTCCTAGTCTGCATATGATTATTCCTGATTGTTGCTTCCATGTATTACACTCAGTCTTTTGAGAAAAGCCATTTCAAGGTTTTGGCTTCTTATAAGTTTGTGGAAAACCTGCAGTGACTCTATTAGGAGCACCTGACCCTACTAATCTCAATTCCTGTAGTAAAAATAATCCTTAAGGGGTATGTTGTGTTTTTGTTTTGGTTTTTTTTACAAGGAACCTTTTTCCTGATTCAGCCCAGAGCAGGATTACTGCCCTCTTGAATAAATAGTATAAAACTAGTGGCACACATAAATATATCACATCAGATACTGTACTTGCAGGGTGATGTTTCTCCTTTTGTATTTCTTTATCGATCTCTTACAGGGTGGATGGGAGCACATTAGTGTCAGAGGAAATGCAACTGAAGCATCTAGGCTCACTGTGCATGACACTTCTGAGGAAAACCTTGCAGTATCAAAGGATTTAGAAGATGAGGAGAGTAAAGGGAAAACAGAACACTGTAAGTCCCCGCTGATGGTCAGTGAAAGTCAGGAATTGGACAGAAATGCTGTTAATTGTTAAGTTGTTGCCACCTACATGTTCCAAGCAGTAGTCAGTATCATTTAAAAAGAAACTAAATATCTATTGCCTGGAGAGAAAAACATGACCTTTTTGTGCTACTAAAATATTTTACTGAACTGAAATTTGCAATGGGGTATTTTAAATACTGACTTCTACTACATCATGTGCAAAATGTGGCTTGATAGAGCTAATAGTTTTGTCAAAGCAGGCAACCTTTTTAGCCACGATGTATTTCTGACCCTTGACCATAGCTGCTACAAACCATACAACTGTGAATATTTTTGCAGACGATCATTACATTTACTACATTTTTTTTAACGTTACAGTTCCCTTCATTTCTTTCAGACTCACACACCTTGCACACTGTTCTTCAGATTCACATTTGAGCAGAGATGAAGATGTCACATCAGTGTAAATGAATAGCAGGCAAACCTAACAGGTCCTCATTGCACAGACATGCATGTAACTCTGCTCATGTGAGTCCTGCTTTTACAGGCATGTAGCTTGTGTTGTGCTATTCTTGCTCCCACCAGTAAAATTAAATTCTACACAATTGAGCTTAGGGTGCAGTTACCAGTAAGGGACAAACTTTGCTATTATTGCTCACAATGAGCAATATCACAATCAAGAAATGGAGACACTAGTTTTGGTGAGACTGTGGAGAGCACGGACCTATTCAGTCTAAGTGACAATGTCTCAATTGTAAACTGTTGGTCCAAATAGTGATAAATCATGTTTTGTCTAAATCTTAACTGGAACTGTGGTAACTGAGGTATGCAGATGCCTGCTTCGTGAGGGTGAAAGGCACCAGACACTTGAGCTGGGCTGCATTCCATATCATTGCAAATCATGTTTTCAATAGTGTAAAAGAGGAGGTCTTCAATAATATTGTGAAGTCACAGTGGTAGGAGTGCAAAACAACTTTCCTGGTATCAGTGGAGTTTGCCAATATATACTAATGTGGGTTCAGAATGAAGCTCCACTGGTTGTTTTCAGTGATTGATTCATCCTTTCTTCCAACAAGAAGCCACTTCTTATTCTCAAAAAAAAAAAGCTTTTTTTTCCTGTCTTGCTTGTCATGATTGAACTGTGATGTGAAATTATTAATTGAAATCCAGTCCTTGGGAAGTACTGAAAAAGCCTTTCCCATAGCTTCAGGAAGGCACCATGTTTTTCTCCTCGCAGCAGTTTACATCCATTTTTCCTCTCTGTGTGACTGTGTATGGCATTATTTTTGTATGATGAGCCATGTGGTGCGGTTTCAGTACTGTATTTGTAGAAGTAAAAGTTATGTTTGCACGTATTTAAAGAATATATTTGGTATTTTAATGCCAAGGCAAGCACTGTTTCCAAGTCCGAATGTGAATGAAGACTGAAGATGCTTTACTGTTTTAAAAAAACGTGTTGATCTTTCCAGTATGTGATTAGAGATTTCTGGTTGATACATACATTGTGGGAGTACCATCAATAACATGTTTGCTTTAATTACCAGAATAGGTTTTGCATAACTTGCACAGTATCTTGTCCAAATAAATTACTTTATTACATGTATTTTTAGAGAATAACTAGGATTGTATTTTCTCTGCATCATATAAAAAAGATATTTTCTTTTAATAGTGTTTACATATGCAGCAATCAAACTGATTTCATACGATAAGCTTTATAATGTACCTTTGCATTTTTCCCTACATTGCCAAGTTTCACTTACTTTACTGTAAAAAAGACAGGTTTAAGTGAACAAAAGATAATTTATGTTGTTTATGTTTTAGTACTAAGTGTTTGCCTTCTGAAACTATTATTTAGGAAAGTATTTAATTTAAAAATATTTTGTTGTGGCTAGTAAGGAAAAGAGACTTTAAAATGAGGGAATTTTGAAAAATAAAAAAAGTAATTTGTCACAAAAAAAAAAAAAGCTTCTGATGAAATCCTTTTTGACATGTCCATGACTTTGTAGCACAGCACCACTGTGGAACTATCAGCTGTCATTCCACTGGAACGTGTATGCTCTGTGCCTGGCTGTTCATCGGGATGTCTGTGCTCAAGTGAAGAGGCAACCTTCACCTGCCTCCTCTGCTACTGTATTTATAGCTCAATATTACATGCCATTTGGGGCTTAATGTTAGAAACACCTCTATTTGCAGTAAGTCCTGACAGTCACTGCTACAAGCATTTAAACTCCATGTTTATAAGAGTAATATCAGTAAAATTGTTTCTTTAAGTGATGTGCAATTCTTCAGCACTGGCACTGTCAAAATACTCTTTATTCTAAGTCACTGGTTTTCTTCCACTGCCAACGTAACCAAATAGCAATTCAAACACGGCTTTCCCACAGAAACATTTTGGCGATGACAGTATCTGGAAACTCTCATCTCTCCTGTATCTCAGATCTAGCAGATTAATGACTTTAAAAGTATCCAACAAAAAAATGACCATGATCTAGAAGTGATTAGTCGTCATTACTGATTACAGAACATTACAGAACCCCAGAACTTAGGCTGGAAGGGACTTCAGGAAACCATCCAGCCCAGCCCCTTGTAGAACTAATGCCATCAAGGTGCTCCAAGCTGCGTGTCCAACCAATATCTCAACCTCTCCGCGGATCGAGTTTCCACAACAACCAGCGCACGATCTGAGGTCACCACCGGTGCAGCCCGGGGCGGGAGGCTCCAAACCCTCTCTACACCCGCACAGGGGCAGCAGCGTCCTTCCCTCGCGGGGGTGGACGGGCACGGGCACGGGCACGGGCACAGGCCTCCGCAGCAGTAATGTCGGCTGCTAAGGCGGCGCTCCCTCAGGCTTCCCTCAGGAGCGGCACCGCCCTCTGCTCCTCTCGCGACAGGACGAGCCCGCCAACACACCTGAGGGCTGCGGCACGGAACACGCCGCCCGCTCCCCGCTCCCTCCCAGCGAGGCGGTGTGGTATCCGAGAGCCCACCCCTCCGGGGGAAGGCCCCCGCCAACGCCGTGCCCGCTCCGTCCCGTCCTGTCCCGGGTACCTCGTCACAACCGCGGCCGGCTCCCTCGCTCGCTCGGCCGCTGAACGCCGCTGACACAGCCAGTGGAGAGCACCGGTGGCACGCGAGCCGAGCCTCGGGCCCCGCCCCGCCCCTATCGGCGGACTCTGGGGTCGCGGGCTGCCCCCGAGGGCTTTATCAGTGCAGAGGGTTACCTGTTCAGTCAGATAGCACACAGCACTAACGGCAAATGGAGCCTGTAAGACCAGGCAATCCTGTCGTTAACACAAGTCCTAGGGCTGGATAATCACAGCTATTTTAGTGTCGAAACAGCTTGGAAACAAAGAAAACCCCAAATCAACACAACAGTGACATAATTTCTATCTCCAGTAAAGCAACTGCACGTATAAAAGACTGCTGTTGATGTTCTGCATCACAGGGATGGGTTGCTATGGTGGAGAAAAATCAGAACCATAGACTGGTTTTTGTTGGAAGGGACCTTGAGTTCATCCAGTTCCAACCCCCACCACATGCAGGGACACTTTCCACTAGAGCAGGTTGCTCAAAGACCCGTCCAACCTAGCCTTGAACACTGCCAGGGATGGGGCAGCCACAGCTTCTAGGAGCAACCTGTGTCAGCGCCTCACAACCCTCATAATGAAAAACTTTCTCCTGATATCCAATCTAAATCTACTGCCTGACAGCTTGAAGCCATTGCCTCTTGTCCTAGCACTACAGGCCCTTGTAAAAAGGGGTTCTTGTAGCCCCTTTTAGGCACTGGGAGCCGCTCTAAGGTCTCTCTGGAGCCTTCTCCAGGCTGAAAAATAGTTCACATTCCTTACCAAGCTGTCTGGGAAACCTTACCTTTTAGTCCAAGTGAAAATTATCACGCTATGAGCCCTGCTGAGGCAAAACAAACGGCATGTTACAAACTATGCAGTGCATCATATCCCTTTTGTGATGGACCTGGAAACTCCTGCCTCAGCCACTGTTCCTCCTCCCATAGCCCTGCTTTGCAAAGAGAAGGGTCACACCCCATACTATTATCAATCCTACCAGTGTAGGAGATGTTGGATTCCTACTTTGCTGTCAACACAACACAGCAACGGCCAGCCAGCCAGCGCAGACTTGGGCACATGGTGCTCCACAGGCAGCACAGTTCCAACTAAGGGCACCTCCCACTGGTCTTCAGGTGAGAAGATAAGAGGAAATGAGAGGTCCTCCGTGACATAAAACTTTTTACAATTAGAATGGAGGGGCGGGGGGGGTGGACATTTTCCTTTTTGAAGAGTTCCTGCTTCATTTATTGTGTTTAATAATAGAATCTAGCACTAGCCCAGAAAGAATCCTGATCACATTACAGGCTTCATTAGCAAGTAATTTTAATTGGATAGATCATTGTCTAACTTATGACTACACTAAAGTATTTTTATCATAGTTTTGGCAAAAATAAGTAATTTGTCCCTTACTTATTATTTGTATTACAATGGCACCCAGAGATGCACTAAAGAAAGACTCTATGAGGCTGGATGCTCTGGAAACCAGAAAACGTCCTGACTCTGGAGAGCTTACAATCTAAGAAAGCTTTGTAGATATTAACAAGTACTTTAGAAGTTTTATGCTTTGTAAGGTTCAAAATTATCAGAGCAGATCTGAAACACTCAAATATTCAGATTTGGTGGCCGATTCCTCATACGTGCTGCTTCATTCATCAAGTCAGTCAACTGTTGGCATCAATTTCCTCCATAGTAGAACAGGAGAAACCTATTCTGGCAGGTCACTGACAGGTTGGTAAATAGCACTACTGCCAAGATTCTCTACAAGCTCTAGGGATCTTGGGTGACAATGGGCCTTAAATGCTAAACTGACAACCCTTCCAAAGAGGAGAATTTTCAGTAGTTGCTACATCTTTAGTTTCAAGGCAACTACAGTGTTACGGGACAGGTTTCCAGACCCTGACACACCAAATCTATCCATTAAGCTCTGAAAAATTCTTACAATTTAAGTGTTGTTACCTGTTTATCTTTTTAAGACAAAAAGTAGGGGATATACGGAATCAAAAATAAACTCTTAAAACCTTTATGTACTGACATGCATCATGCCAGAAGGAGAAAGAATGGTGATATTAGCTAACTGTAGGTGTTTTGGCTGAAGCTATGAATCTATGTGGAGTATTTTTGTATCTGTTCCTCATTATCATCATTGCCATGTTGCTGTTGATAATGCTGGTACAATTTGGACCCCCAGCCTCCCCCTATCCCTTCTGCTGCTGGCAAGTGTCCATTTGACATATTTAGTATAATGGAGGTCAAGGATTTAATGTAGTTTTTTGCCAGTGTGAGAGTCTCTATTTTGGACAGTTTGTTCTCAGCCCTCACATGAGGGATCACCTCCCGCAAAGCCTGGAACGCATTGTTGAGCTTGTGCATTCTCTGCCTCTCCCGCTCGTTGCTTTCCAGTCTCCTCAAATGCCTGTCCTTACTGCTCCAAGGATGCTTGGCTCTGGCTGGAGCCATCTTGCTGCTCTCCTTGTTTCCCCCATTCCTCCTTTCTTTGTGCCGCAAACATTTCACCAGTTCTTTTTTCCTTATTGATGACTCCTCGGAAAATGCTTCTTTGTCAGCAGTGTGCCTCTGCTGTTTTCCTTTGGTTTTAGTCTTCATGTTTTGGTAGATGTACTGGTGTTAGGCATCAATGTGCTGTAAAAACATGAACATCATTAACTGCTGCACAGCTCCATGATGAGCAAATGATCTGGTGCAGGTTTGAAATGTTTGTTTACTTGTTCACTACTGGAAAACCATCCCTGTCTCCCAATTTAGTGATGTTCATTTTAGAAGTTGTGAATGTTATCAGTCAAGATGACATGTGCAGATGAACAGAGGCAGATGAACAGAAGAGAAAATCCTTTTATAGAGAACAACAGATCCTCCTTCAGCTGGAAGGAAAAGGTTACAGAAGGAGCAGAAGCCAAATTAACAGAACCATTGAAACAAAGATGTAGTAAATCACCTATTTGGGTCCTCATGTATGGAAAGCCAAGTGAAAACTACACACCTTTACTTTCTTGTAAATAGGTTTCAAGCTCCTCTTACTGCACGTAACAGAAAATAGTCTCCAAGCTGATCCAGTCTTCCCATAGGAAAAGTGAATCACAAAAAAAAAAATAACAGGAGTGCAACAGTCAATTAGGTTTGATAACACATTGCCTACATTTTGATCTCATATGCTTCTGTCTTCTCCCAGCTCCAGTTACCACAAGTTACAATAAAAGCATATACCACCTCATTGTATGTGTGCAGGCTCAAGTGTGAGATACTAGAACCCTCAAGTTTTTACTCAAAGTAATTTCTCCTCGAACTCCTGGTAATTGCTTTTTGTAGGAATGGGTTTCCACTGTGTTCATGAGCAGACCACTAGAGGGAAATATGACACACGAACTCCTACAGAAGCTCAGAAACTCACAGCTGGCAACACGTTTTCACATGCAGTGTTTCTGCACCCTGGGCTAGTCCCCACCACACACAAAAATAATTACTCCTCTTCCTACAGCAACCAAATAATGGTGGGGCTTAATTGCAGTTTCTGCCCCAGTTCAGCAGCAGCAGTATTTATTCTTCAGGTTATCCAAAAAGACCCAGCAATGCTCCTTCCTTGCATGTTACCAAGGGCAGATGACAGCACTGAGATCTTGTCCTCCCTCAGCCCAGATTCTTTGCCAACACTACACCAGAAGGCAGCAGCCCCACAGGAACCCTGCCTCCAACACTAACCATCAAGGTTACTGATACTATTTCCATAACATTTCTACTTTCTTCCAGTTCACATTGAAAGGTTCAGATTTTAAAACAAATGTTTAATGCTGATGCTGTGATGTAGGAGCAGTAAAGAGTTGGTGAGCCAATTAAAACAAAACCAACCCCAAAGAAACCCACAGGTGCTCGACTGTCCCTATATAGGACATCAACCTTAGCTGGAGCAGGTAGTAAGCAGTTCCCAGGTGTGCTGCAGTAAGTATCACTTCCTCTCTTGTTGCTTTAGAGAGGTCTTCAGCTGCTCAGCATTCACAGTGACTTGGTTCTCTGCCTGTGAGGGCATCCTGGCTGTCCCAGGTTCCTTACCACCAGGGAGGCAATTGACAGGAACTCACAAAGCAGCTTGGTTATGGTAGCATCCAGGTGACGAATGCTGAAAGACAGCACTGAATAGCTTATGTTGTGGGAGCCTAGAAGAAATGCTAGAGACATACAGGTACCTTAAGAAAGAAAGACTAAAGCCAAGCTCTGTGACCCTTCCTGACCCTTAATCTAACTCACTTGGCAGAAAAGGAGTAACTGCAGGGGACAGAAATAAAGGCAGGCACAAAGGAGACCAGTCAACTTCCCCCTCCAGCACAAAAAGCACTGTTAGTGAGAGCAAAGAAATGAGCAGCTGCTGTTGGAAAGAAAAACAGCCTGCAGGGCTTGGTGAAGAGGAGGTTTGTGGAGGCAGCCAGCAGAGAATGCTGGAAGAAAATGCAAGAGAGAGGAGGCTTCAGCAAATTGTGGGAGAAAAGTACCCTTTGAAACTGCAGGCTAGGGCAAAGCAGATGGGATAACATGGTAGAAGAGGGTGCAAGCCTGAGAAACACCCTCATGGAGCTACAGCGAGGCTACCAGGACCCCCAGGGTGAGAGCATGGGTGTGCGAGGAGGAAATGGACACAGAGCGAGGATCAGGAGCAAGCGACTGAAGTGGTCAAGGCAAACTGGAGAGAGCAACCAAATACCAACAATCTTTCCACCCTCTGCATCAGTCTGGCTTCCCTCTTCTGTGACTTACCACTGCCACCAGCTGTGGAGAAGGTGCCTAGCGCTCGAGGGGGGCATAGGCAGAGACCCATGTGAAGCCAGGTGCAGCAGCAGGGGTTGAGCCAGGGTCTACAAGCAGGGGCCAGCGAGGGCCCCTAGCCCTGCCTCACGCCGAGGCCCCGTGAGGCCGGAGCTGGGCCCGAGCGCTGCCCCGGCCCCGCAGGCACTCGGCCCGTGGCTGCGACACGTCGCTTTAGCGGCGGGGGCGGGCCCGCCGCGGGCGGGACCTCGGCACCTCGCGGCCGTCAAGTAACAGACCCGCCGGGGAAGGGGTGGCCTCAGGCTCGGCCCTCGGGTACCGGGGGGGGGGGGGGGGGGGGAGAGGGAGGGAGGGAAGCAGCAGGCCCAGGCAAAGGAGTCCCGCAGCAGCACATCAGCCCGGCTGCTAGCGGTGCCCGTTTTACCCCACCAAGGGGGAGAGGGCCCAGGGCCAGCACCACAAGGCTCCTGGGACTGGGATAGGCACGGAGCTCTGGGGACGACAAAACCTTAGGGAGTAGGCAGCACTGGGCTAGGGCTGAGCCTAGGGCTGTGTGTGTGTGTGTGCATCCAGGCACTGACACCAGACCGCTGGATGCTAAGACAAGCAAATCAGGGTCACTGTAGGAGGGGGTCGTCAGTACTTCAGCAGATGGAGGAGGAAAATGTCCGAGTGCACTGTTCTGCCAAGGGCTGTGCAAGGTACCATAGCACCTTGTGTGACAAAGGCCCTCAGCACTTCCCTCCCTTGCAAGCTGCTGCTGCTGCTAAGGATTGCAAGTGCTCAAATTCTTTGATAATAGGTTCTATTTAAGATGACCAATTTAGTGCTATGGGATCTTTTACATCTGTTCTCAATTACGACCACCGTCTCGGTCAAATTTCAGCCCAGTAGTTATATTTTACCTAATGAAGTTAAGTCATCTTGATATCAGTTTCTCATTCCCAGGTCTCAACAGGAGCCACGACTCAGAACAGCTGCAATGCTGAGGGGGGGCTTCCACAACAGCCTCCATAACCACTGACACTGCTGTGATCTGTCATCACAACCTTAACAGTAAACAGGTTAAAAGAGACATTCACTGCCCCTCAGAGTGAATGTCTCAATCTCAAGTCAGAGAAGCTACCAATACACAAGTACTAAATTTACCTGATATTCACAGAACAGAATCATTAGGGTTGGAAGGGACCTCTAGAGATCATCTAGTCCACCCCCCCTTGCCAAGGCAGGGCCACCTACAGCAGGTTACACAGGACCACATCCAGGCGGGTACCGACTGTCTCCAGAGAAGGAGACTCCACAACCTCCCTGGGCAGCCTGTTCAGTGCTCTACCTCACGATCTTGGGTTCATTCAGCACATGCATTTAAATTAAAAAAAGAAATCTTCCAGAAATAAACTGAATTATTATTGAAAAAACATACCATTAATCTGTTTGCTGAAGGGTACTTACATTTTGATATCTCCATTCTTCCTACACATGATTAATTCTAGGATTAAAAGCAATATTCACCTTTTAGAATTACACCGTTTGTATTTCAAGTACTGCTTCTTTGTGTATACACCTTACCTGAAGCTCACACAAGGTGGTATTATTGGAAGAAATTAAAGGCAACTACACTATTTTGTGTAGACTCATCTGCTGGACTGTAGCTTTGAGGTTTTGGTACTTTCTCAACTTCTGGACACTAACAAATATATCTCACAGCAGAACTACACTGTGGACCTGATCCATTGCTGGTATCTGCTTAAGAATGAACAAACAGACAAAGAGATTATAAATATATAACTGTATTTTATTTTTAATATTAAATATTTTTAAATTACAAGCAGTTTCTTGAATCACACTATGCATGATAATCAATATACAGTAGAAATTACAATTTAAAAATGTACACAATTTAAAGACATTTTGACCTGAAATTTCATTAACTATGATATATTGCCATAAACCTCATACCTGTATTAAATTACAATAGGAAAACCTCATACCTATGATTTTGTTACATAGTTTCTCATTTACAAATAGAATTAAACATTATATATACACACACATCAGTACCATTTTATCATTTAAGTTACACCTACATCTGTGCAAGTTCAAACAATTTCATAAACAAAACTAAGTCATATTCAAGTTTCTGAAAAACAGGCTGCTGGTATTACAAATACTTATTTTCAGTAAGTTTATATGATGTTTGACTCTCCTGTAGATAGTTTTTTTCCAGTCTTGTACCAAAACCATTAACATACAATGATATTACTGTATGACTTAAAGCTGAAGTAACTTTGTACACTCTGTTCTTATTTAAGGCTATTTCTTATAAGGCTAATATACTTGGATTCCACCTTTCACCAACTCCAACAAAAATAGCCATGTCACTAACACCTGACAACGCTGACACTTTAGCATAGTGCTTAATCATAAAAGTCTTTCTACCAACCAGCCTCCTCATGAAAAAGACTGAGTACTACATAAAAATCTGCTATAAATACTGATAAAAAGAATGAGGCTTAAATGGCTTTCATTAGTGCATCAACAAGGAGATGAAAAAATGTTTAATCCGCTCATTTCCATGAAAATGGCAGTTTCCATAAATGCAGTTGGACACACAACAGATCTGTGGCTTGGGGATTTAGGGGAGTACAGGTGTTCCATGAAAACTGGACATTCTTCTCGCTTTGTTGGCTTCTCGTAACAGATACTAATTTTTAAGCAAACTTCCTTAGGTGGGAAAAAATCAGCTTTTAAAAATGATTTTAGTAGCCAAATGGAGACAATGCCTTCACTATTCACATAAACACAGTATTCTACTAGAAAGGGAATTAAAATATAAGCAGTCCTCATAGTAAACCACTGAAAATAGATACATGTACTTCTAAACTGGAAACCATGCCTAAGTAGCTAGTGCAAGAAATTACACAGTTTAATGAATGATTTGTAATAAATCCCCTTACTATAATGTAACACGTTTGGAATTACCATTCCTCTTCACTGTGCCACTGACAGCCAGGCAGATATTTAAATATTGCTAACAGTTGATCAGTTAAACTACAGATTTTTTCCAAAAAAAAAAAAAAAGACCTTTTATATTATTGTAATCCAGGCTAGTGGATTAACAAAATTAAAATTCATATTTAAAGTGAGGTGAGTCAGCTTAAATATTTCTTTCTCTTCATTTCTTTTCTCTTCTGGGAACAGGTTGCTCAGAGAAGCTGTGGTTACCCTATTGCAGGCAGTGCTCAAAGCCAGGCTGGACAGGGCTTGGAGCAACCCGGTCTAGTGGAAGGTGTCCCTGCCTGTGGCAGGAGAATGGACCTGGATGAGCTTAAAGGTCCCTTCCAACCCAGACCACTGCACGGCTAAAAATGACATTATGTTGCTTATCATCATACATATCCCAGCTCACTTTGGGAAAAATGCCCCTTTATCAACTCATCAGAAAATTTGGACAAAAGAGTAAACTTTCACTTCCTACATAAGATTTTCTATAGATTTCTGTCAAGTAAAGGAAATTCTTAATGTGCAAGATAAATATCTGATTTTCCAGAATGATAAGAAACAAAATGCACAACCACCTTGTAACATTCTGGAGTAGAAGCTTTTATTTAACCTTGGGCTGTATTTTAAACCAAATTATTCAAAATTAAGGCTGAAGTCCAGTTCTGATAGATTTTTCACCACGCAAGGCAGATAAGCCCTAACATGCTTTGCAGACCATTACAGAGTTTCATTCTTACTGTGGTGAGGATTATAGAAGACAGATGAGATACCTTAAATCTAACTGTGTCAAGGAGTTTGATGTTGGAATTACAGAATCACTAAACAATAGTTTGTGCACAAAGTCTATTACCTGTATTTTGAATATTGAGAGGAGTGCACAGCTTCCTTAAACTCTCTACAGTATACACTCTAAGCCTGTATAAAGAACTATGTCCCTTTGACTCTTAAATCATATTCTGGGAAGAAGACCATGAAAAAATTCCATTCCCTACTTCATACTGAAGAACAGTTCTGACTAACTCTGAACCTGAGTGCCTCACCAGAAAAAGTCATCTGAACAATACATTGGCAACTTTAAACAACATTATCACCAAGTCATTCCCTTCTGATCGGTATGGAAGCCATTCTTGTTAAGGGCTAAATAATGCTGGAAAAAAGCAATTAACATTCCTGTCAGTTTAAAAAATACTTAAAAAAAACAAAACAAAAATGTATACAGAGGTATACAAAACCAAATTTTACACATCTGAAAATATCTAGTCCTCCCACACTTCATGGGATGAGAAGTCTCTGGTGACTGGATCTGGACACAGAGCACTTGGACCACCCTTATATGAAGCTCTGCCAAAATAGCCACTAAAATACAAAGTGTTCAGTATGTTAGTACATTTGTATTTTAGGACACTAAGCCAGGTAAACTCTCCTATCCGTGTTTCCTACTGATCTGCAGCTGCATAAGGCATTCCAAGAGGTCAGGGATTTGTTTCTCAACTGAACTCACTTTGGAGTAGTAATTAAGGATTTCTCCTCCCCATCCAGCAGTTTAAAGGATTAAACTAGCTAAATGCATGGTAGAGTATGAAGGTTAAACATGCCCACACTGTACTCCCTTCCCTACAGACAGCTTCAGAGCAAACATTACTATACAGTATCTTTTGATCAGTATGTATTTCAAAATGTACCACAGGGTCTTGCAGACAACTTAAAATAGGTTTGGCCTTAAAAAGGGTGCAAAACTGGGTATTAATCATTAATCTAATTCTTAACTGTCATAACATCACTGAGAGGTAGATTTACCACAGTCCTCTGAATGGCAGCCCAATCTACACTCAACAGAAGAGTGAGCTTTGAAATTCACAAAATGGGCAGCTGAAGGCCCACATGTGCCCAAATCCATTCCACTGAAATTAGTCTTTTTATAAGATACGTAAATTCCATAGTTTTGTACAGCCAATTTTTCCTCTTCTCTCTCCAAGGCAGAAATTGTAGTAAAAACTGGAAGGCTCTTTAATTATGATATAGTCAGATGCTATTACAGTTTAAGCAGTCAGTAGGATTATGTTCAGGAACTAAGAGACATTATCTCTTACATCTAAAAACTCCAGAGTATATCATATATTCTTTTCCAATTTCCTATAGAACATGAACACTAACAATCAATCTATAATCATTATCATTTAGAAATGGTACTGAACATAAGATTTCAGCAAGTCTAACGTAACACTCAGAAGTTATGTACGCTTTACATGTACCGTGCATAGCAAAGGCTACAAAAAGGACAAATTAAACTGGATAAGTGGGCCAATTCAACTTGTCTTATTCTCCTTGAAAGATTTAAGATTTTGAATCTGTACATCAGGAAATAAAGGAAGAATAATCCATAGTGCAATTGTAATAAGCAAAGTAATATGTAGTGATATCCTCTTGAATAAATATGGCTCACTACTGATCAACTATCATCCATACAGTTTCAGCAACACAGCCACCTGTTGCACAGGACAGTTATACACAGTTCTACAACAGGTGTATGTTCAAATAGATAATGAACTACATGGAAAAATATAAAAAGAATATTATACAATCTCATACATAAACCAGACTGTAGTGTAATTGCTTTACTTGTTTAAGTTATCTGAAAAATACTTCAAGTACTTGAAAACAGCGGCAGAATCATCTTTCAATGAAAAGCAAAATTGCACTGATTTAAAAATACATTACAAAGTTAAATACACATTCAAATTAATGTCCTGATTTAACATTGTTTTCAGTGTTTACTTTCATTTCTTAGTACTTCTTGATTACCTGCGTTGCTTCAGGAGGATCCAGAGACGATGAAGCTTTAGACAGAAAGTCTGTGTGTTCTATGTATGCAGTCCAAAGTTTTAAATTAATCTTTTTCTCCATCTTCACTGCTTCCTGTTAGTAGAGGAAAGGTCATAAGGTACAATGAGATCCTTCTGTACAACCCTCCCTTCTTTGCAAGGCTCTTCCTACAGCCTGGCATTCTGCCCTTTCACACTTCCAAGTTTTGGTTAATCTTTCCCTACAGCTTTCAACTACTGTAAACATTTGGTACATTTCTACATAGACATCTGCTTAAAGCACATGGTTCAATGTCACTTCTTAGGACTCATGAGGCAATGTAAGATCTCCATAAAAATCTCTTATCTGCAAGTTACTAGGCAGCAAGCATTATCTTATCAATAAGCACAATACAAGAACAATACAACTCTATATAACCCCGATTACATATTTACCATTAGCAAGGCTCAGGAACCAGTAATATTTAATAATGCAGCATTTTATCAAGATTAATATGCTGAACTGATTCAAGCCTATTTGGGTTTGCCCCTTTAACCTCAAAAAATGTTCCGAAGTTGAAAGAAAAGCTTTTGGTTACAGACAAGAAAGCTACTATTAATAAATACTGCTGGTACTCAATATTGATGTGATATGAACAGACTGACTCTCCTTAAATGGTCTTATTCACAGCTCTAGAAAACATGCTGCAATTCTTGTATGTCAAGAATGCTCTTTCTAAAAAGCAGTATGAAAAGAAACTGAATTGTAAAATAAGCTTAGACAGCAATGGCAGAAACATTATGTTCTAGCATCCTCATCCTGTGCAATGAAAATAAAATTCTGACTAATGACAGTGTGATAATGACATTTATTCAACTGCCATGGTGTGGCAGCTATAAACAAGTGCTTAAGGATTGCACAGATTTCACAACTATTGCACTATTTCTTTTTTAACAGAAAAATTGTGAACTTGTCCTGTAATATTCAACAGAATATTCAACAGAACCACAAGTTTGTAGCAACTTGGATGCAAATAATCTCAAAGGAAAGCTATGTCTTAACTGAAATACAAGACCACACATAACATTTATAGTATTAACAATGCATTTTTAAATTAAGTATCTAAAATAGAACAAGGTTTGTCATATCTCTGACTTCTATCTTTGATTAGAGTTTTGAATTTGGGGTTCTAAAATAATTATTATAACTACATCACTTACCTCCTTGCTCTATATCTGAATCTGTAAGATGCGTAAGAGAAAAGCTTGCCATGTTTGCAGGAGAGATAGAGAATCTGGAATAAGGGGACGTATGTGACCAGTTCTGATCGAGAGTCCGGGAAGGTGGAGGTGGAGAGAAATACTTTGATGACTGAAGAGGTGATTTAGAACTAATAAGACTATTAGCTGCCTTTGACATAAAGGATGGCTCTGGAGAAGAGAAGTCATCATCCCATTCAAAACCCCCACCTTGAGGAAAAAGAAAAAAAAAAAAAGAGAACTGACAATAATGTAAAGTCATAACCAGTTTTAAAAGCAACCCCCTGGAAGACTGTGCTAACCCAAAGCAGAACTTGTAGCTTTTCTGTTCTAGCCCTCAGGAGTCACAATATTTGTCTCCCCTACTTTGGTAGCCTTCCAAGACACCCCAGACACATCAGTGTATAACCAACCGGTATCGCATTACCAGCTTTGATGATCAGTAACACCATTACCTGAGCCTAGCTGTAGTCTGTGCTCAGGATACAAAACTGAAGCCAATATGGTACAGCCAATTTACAAGTCACATATCATTTAAAAGACATTTCATTAACAGCTATGCATAAAACAGCCTCAGCCCCTGCTGTGCATAAATATAGTCCGGTACCTTCTTCATCTGTTGAGCTTTCTGAATTTGCAAATCTGTTTAAGTAACTAAAACTCGAAGGTGGAGCCGGAGTGCTGCAAGAGTCTTCCCCATTCAAGTCTACTGCATGGTTTCCCAGCTCCTTAGTCGGCATTTCCTAAGGCAAATACAGTAAGTTACTTACTTATCCCTCTTGTACACACAATGTGTCCATGCCCACAGATGCAAGCTTTCCAGAAATACACTCCCCACTGTCACCATCAAATGTACTGCGGAATTAAATGGCCTGCAAACTCTTAAATTACTACCACATAACAAAACCTTGAGTTACAGATTAAGCATATGCAGGTAATTCTAGTTCTAAAGAAAACTGTATTAAATCTACACTAAAATGCACTCAGGAAGCGACTTTAAATCTTATTTATGATACTTAAAAGTTTTGTATTCCTAGGAGCAAAGCTAAACATCTTCCAATTAAAAACAGTTCCCTTGTCAGCCTGACCCAGGCAGGTGTTTAATTCTTTAACAAAGCCTTAAGCCAACTCACAACATTTTAAGTTTTTATTTTACTTTTTTTGTTTTTAACGCTTAATCATGCACCAGGATAAAGAGACAAACTTTGTACAACTGGTATTTGAAGCAGCCAACATCTTATCAGTTACTGTAAAAATAAAGAGTTCAACAACTAAGAGCAGGTTAAACACAGCCGATTTTCTCTTCCCTTCTCACAAAAGGATTACTATTCTACATAGGCTGCCTAAACACAAAACACCTATGTTTTCTATTCCAAAACAAAATTAACCAATATTTACGTGCGTCATCATAACTAACATTTCCAAAGCTTGACAATGTGACTGTTCTTTCAAACTCACTATACGAGTTTAGTTGCCACAATGGTAAAACACTATCCCTGATGTATCAAGTTACAGAAGTTAAAAATTGATAAAGCAGATAGGGAAACAAAGGTAATCTTGAATTTTAGAAGCAGATCAGTATTTCACTCAACTTGAATAACACTGCATGTAAAAATTAGCATTACCATCTAAATATTGTTCTCATCTTTAATTATGGTTTAAAGTAAATGTACCTTAATGCTAACTAACACAAGAGCCAAAGTTTGGTTGCTGTTTAGGGTTTTTGGGGTGTTTTATTTGGTTGGTTAGCTGTTATTTTTATCCCTTTCTTCCTTTCTTTTATAAAGGCATTTAAACTTAAATTCAAAGTCCTCAAACTCATTAAACTAACAAATTGATTCCAAAAAGTTACAACATTCTGGCAAAATAATCAAATCGAATATGGTCCATAACAATGCGGCTTCACATGTTCAAATTAAACACAGCTTATAAACATCAAAAGGACATCACATTTCACTCAGAGCATACAGTTAGGGATCCAAAAGCAATGGAGTCTCAGGACTTGACAACCAACCGTGCCAAAACAACACCCTCCTTCACTTCCAAACAGCCCTGCTATTCTACACCTAGCAAAAAAAAAAAAGCAATTCTACCAAATGTTGTTTAAAAAACTCAAACCAACAAAAACTTTACTTAGTAAAAAAAGCATACCTGATCAAACAAATAGACTGTCACATCATCAAAGAACGTTACAGCCTTTTTCTCATTTTTCCAAGGCTCATACTGCCTCTCATCAAGAGGTGCTGGAAGTTTCAACAAGCTTCTCAGATGTTTTCCATCATCCTTCTCAGTAATTATCTCAGGTACTTGATGAACAGTTTCATCTTCACTGTCAGAACTCAGACTATGCATATGAAAAGTCCTCATGTCATCCTCAGAATCACTGTTCTCATCTTCTTCATCTGCATCATCGCCATCTTCTAAGTCAAGCATTCCAGAAACATCAAGTTTTCCAAGGTATTTTCCTTCAATATCTGGCTCTTTCAGTTTTTGTCCTTCAATGTGATAGAAGGACTTCTCACTGTTACTCAGATCTAAAGGACTGTGTATGTTATGCACAGGCTTTAAGTCTCTGTGTGAAAGAAGTTCTGAAGTATTAGTGCCAACACAAGACACAGTTTTACATGAAGTCTCAGATAGTTTTATTTCATCCCTTAGGTTTCTGTCCATCAATATCTCCATGGAATTCAGAGTTGCCTCAGTCCACTCATCAGGACAGCCCTGCATCCTTACATCCACCTCTTGGATCTCTAAGTCATGATTTAGTTCTAGTTTTGCATTTTGATTATTAGTATCCTCATAATTGCTTACATCACACTTTTGCTGTCTCTCCTCAAAACTGTAATCCTCTTCAGTATTATTCTCTCCTCTTCTGGAAGAAACACCACCCGTAGTCTCTCCTGACAGACTGACAGTCTCTTCTGTTTTTTTATCTGGTTCAGAATCATTATCAGAGAAATAGGCAGAGTCTCTGTAAGAGTTCTGACTTCCCCCCAGAAAAACCTTTGGGGTTGTTTCAAGATTGCTGTTCACTGCATCTAAACCAGCTGCTGCTTCTGAAACAATTATGACTGGATTAGAAGGTAAAGCACTGACATTGCTCTCACTAACACCACAGAGAGCAGCATCTACACTAGAAGCATCCTCAACAGTGATATGGGAAGTCCACTCTGGAGATTCCAGGTTCTCTGTTTCATAGCCACTGTCAGCAGGTTTATCAGGTGGCAAAAGTTTCTGAGGGCTTTGAGCCTGTAAAGATTCTAGAACCTCATTTACATCTAAAGAATCCAAAGAATCAGGTGTCTCTAAGGCTTGTTCTACAGTTTGTATAGTAGATGGGTTGTCTTCCAAAAGACTATCCTGACTTGTACAGTCTGAAGTAGCAACAGAAACTGAGGTGACCTCTTCTGGAATATCCTTGCAGTTCTCAAAATGATTTGATGCTTCTTGTCTTTCCTCCAACAAACATTCATCTCTTTTTATTATGGGAGATGTATCTTGCAAGTTTCTTCTCACATCTTCCTGATTGCTACATTTTTCTCTATTAGAAGCTATTTCATCATAGTTGGGAAGCATTCCCTGTTTTACCTGTGCATCACACTCAGCTGTTTCAACAGCAACACCAGAATACGGACTGTTTCCAACATTATTATTTTTGGCATTACTAGATAGCTCTTCTTGACAGAGAATATCAGTGTTACAGGACATGACTTCACTGATTTCCACATTCAAAAGTTTTTCCTCCTCCTTCAAATAAGGAGGATTTGCACATTTATCACATGACTTACAGGCTGCAGATGGACTAGAGGATGCCTGCACTTCCACAGTAGTCTGACACTGAGAATTCAGATCTTTATTCATTGTCACCGGGTTACAATTTTCATCTTTCACTGTTCTAAGACTTTCATGTATTAAAGAAAATATCTGTGCATTTTCAGCCAGCACAGGTTCAGGCTCTACAGAGACTCTATATGAGGTTTCTAATACACTCTTTAGAACATTATCTGGTTTTTGTCCAAAATCACTGCTGGTTTTCTTAGACAATAACCCTGACAATAAGTTTTTCTCTTGAAGAAATAAGAAGTTATCAGAAAGTTCTTCTAAAGTTGCCAAGTCAGGCTGGTTAGAGATATTTTCACATAAGCAAACTGTTTCATTTTCAGAAGCATGACTAGAATGCTCCTTCTCAGAAAGGCCTGCTGCCTTCCTGGCATCTGTGTTTGAGTTTAAAACAGGTGGTTTAAAGTCTTTAGAAATATCATTTGTTTCAGCAAAACCAAGTATTTTTCTGTTTGCCAATTCTTCTGATCTGTCAATGTCATTAAATCTATTCTGGAAAGGACTTTCTGGACTACTAGTAACAGGCAAAAATTCCTCTTTAGGATCTGTACTGTAGTGGAAGAAGTCCCCATCCGTACTAGATTCTTCAACATCAAGATCCCTGAGAACTGTGAAATGAGAACTTTTTTCTTGTACAGCTTCTTGATGATCAACTTCTGTAGTTAGTACAAGTGACTGGTTATCAAAATTCATGGTGCAGCCACTTCCTTTCTCCTCCAATTGGATATAGTAGTCATTTCCAACAGAAAGCTTGTGTGCATCAAACACAGGTAATACCCCAGGGACAGCAAGTGATGCTTCCTGACCACTCGCATTCTGTGCTCCCGACCCTTGCTCTGAAAGTGACCTCTCAAAAACCTCCACTGGAAAGAAAACACTTGCGTATGTCATTGCTTCATCAGGATTCACATGACCACATTCATCAAAATGATCATGTTTAGCTGCCTCCCAGATATATTCAAAGCTGAGACCCTGGCTTGTTTCAGTTACAGTAAGAACTTCCTCCATCTCATGGCCAAGTCTATCTCCTGCAAAGTGATCCAAGATTGGAAACGCAGAATTATTTGTTTCTCTGTTTGAGGTGTTTGGTTTAAGAGCATTCCACTGCTGTTCAAAATCAATCTCCGAGTCCCTTTGGCTTTGCATGCGAAGGTAAGTTAAAAGTCTGTGCACTTCTTCCGCTGTTGGTCTCTTTTCCGGAGGTAGCCAACAGAACTGCAGAACTTCATACCTATACAAATAAGAAACATGTCTTAACAGGCTTCACAATGAAAAAGAATATATAAAATTCAGGTATGTAACAAGCTAAAAAAAAAAAGTAAAAATTAATATCACTGGCAGAAAAATCCATCTATAGAAACTCCTTTTACTCCCTTTATTCAGAGTTTCTTTGCCAGGAAGATGATTCCAAGGAGTAATTTCAGCATATTAAGAGAACTGAGTAATGCCAGAAACTTCTTCAGCAGCTTTAATAATAAATAAAAACACTTGAAGTTTACCATCTATCAGAGTATGGCTGCTCCAGGCGTGGCTTGAAGAGTTTAACCTGCTTCTCCCTTATGACATGGGTTAAGACTTCCCTGTCAGAAAAGTCTGAGTAAGGCTGAGCAGCATTCTCAAACAGCTCCCATAACGTTACCCCCAGGGACCTGAAAGAGAGCAGCAAATTACTGTGCATTCCAAGAACTGTTTTAAGGTTGCTTTTCTAAGAAAATAAGGATTATTATGCAAAGCATAACTGGCAAGAAGAAACAAATACCACTCTCTCATTGACTCTGTAACAACTTCAGAACCTGCTAACTCATTTTATTTGACAGAATGCCAGAAGCTCAAGAATGAAGTTGTTTGAAGGCAATGACAACAAAGGCAACACCAGTGAAGACAAAAGAGGCCTCAAATGATTCAACTATGGAAGAAACCCCCACATGTTAAATAAAAAGAAAATGTCTATTTAGAGAAGCAAGATGAAAAAACATTATGGTTAGTCCAACAGTAAGAAAAGCTTTCATCAGAAAATGCAGTAGTTATAAGTCAAACTGCTAGAAAACTAACCTTTATTTCTGTTTTCATCAAATTACTTATTTTTAAGCTGCAGTCATCAGAAGCCACCTCTTTTCTCATTGCTGTATACATACTGTATGCAACACCAACCACTTTTCAGTGATTACAGTTGATGCTGGTCTTTGGGCAACCTTTCCTTGCTCAAAATGCAAAGCAACTGACTCTGCAGGTATTACTATAGAACAATTTAAATTGGAAGGGCTCTTTCAAAGTCATCTAGTCCAAACCTGTTCAAAGCAGCTCTGTGTAAGAGGCACCAAAATTCAAGCTGGAAACCTTAACACCCTGGCTGCTTGTAGTTTTGATGAACAGTATGATCTGTGGGAGCCTGCCTGAAGGGTTCAACTTTTTATGTCATCCACAACTACTACATTACTAGAAAAATTATTTATCATTTCCTTCCTTTAGAAACATGTAAAGGCATTTGGCAAATGTAAAGTAATCATTTTTATTAGTATAAATGCTTGTTCTTCTGCTAAACAGTTTTTTCTTAACCTATCTGTTCTATCAACAGATTCCTAAGCATCTTTCCAAAGCAAGATATAGTTTCAGGTTTGTAGAAATTAACCTACTGGATGTCTGAGGAAATAAAGCAATGCATCAAGCCAATAATGAATTTAACTATAAATATTGACTCTTTTGTGTAACATTTGAGGATATGTTCACAAATCTCTCACTGAAATCATTCTAAAGCCTACTACATACCATATGTTACTGTATTTATTTTGCTCTGCTGATAAGAGTCTGTCTTGAAAACTTGTTACTAACTCAGGTGCAGTCCATCGGAGAGGAATTAGTTTCTTCTCATCTGTCTCAATATAATCTTCCTAAATCATAGGAAAAAAAAAAAGACTGAACAAACATTGGATCAAATTCCAGAAGTTAACAGTCCTCTCCTTAATATGGTTTTATGTGATCCCTATGCTAATAAATCCCATTTTCCCCAAGTAGCAGAGAATAATGCTGTAGAGAAAAGGCGCTCACTGCCCACTGCACAGTAGAAAAACTGAATGCCAACTTCCTTGAAATATTTAGATACTTTGAATATTTTCATTACAAAATTTTATTATTTCTTAAACATTAGAAGGAATTTGTGCATATTTTAGGACTACTGTGTGTGTATATATACATTTAACCCAAAGCTTCTTTCTTTTAAGCACAAACTCCACTCACCTCTACAAAGATCAGCTATTCTGTTACATAACCTTGCTACAGTTATTTGCCAGTTTTACTTTGAAAGTTTATTATTCAAAGGACAATCTAGTATGAGTTTGTAACTTTCAAGCATGCTTGTTACAACCTTAGGCCCCAAATCCTTTTACGAAAGTGGTGCATGACTAGATTAACTTACCTTATACCTACTGAATCCTATCCCATAATCTCCTACTTTGACATTTAAATCAGATGTAAGAAAGCAATTCCGTAAGGCCAAGTCACTAAAAAGCAAACAGATAAATAATGAAACCAAACCAAGTAGTCTTCAATACAAATCAAGACAAGTGGGTTAACAGAAGTGACACTTGTTAGAACTGTCAAGGCCACAGCTTAAAGAATCAAGTGAAAAGGCCATAAAATTATATTAAAAAAAAAAATCACTGAGGAGTTGCACATATGCACACTTGTAGATTACAGTAGCAAAGAGCAGGCCATGACAGGAGCAGATCAATAATATGAAACAACAGTGCTAAGGATTCAACATCTACACTACACATACTTCAACATTTCATTCATCTGACACGTAGTCTGATCCCAGACCTAAATCCTGCTAAAGGCTAAAGCAAGATAGGTGCAAGAAAGGTGTGCTCCTGCAGTCACCTTTCTGATTCTCTTTGGATGGAATTAAACCAGTTCACATACTCCAGAAGACCAATTCATAACACAAACCCAGTCACAGTTAACTGGGGAGAGTAATTTCAAACATACAACTTTGATCCGAACTGGGATAATTCTCTTGCAGCTTATATTTTCATTAAGTTTTACAACTTATACAAGCCAGCATCTGATCCCATATCTCACTGGATTAATTGCAGACACCACAGTTCTATATAGACACTACTTACTTTCAGAAAAAAAACAAACACTGATACAGTCTCTCCTTACACTAAACTTACTGGACAAGATTTCTTTTGTAGCCACAAGAATATGACTGCCCTTAGGCCCTCCCACATTTTCAAAACAGAATCAATTTAGATCTACACAACTGAGCAGGATCTGTGTTCTGGAAGGCAAAGAAAACTAAATATAGTGACAAGGCAATCCTATTTGAAGATTTTATACAAAAAACCTGTCCTGGGTTCAGCAGTAGCAGTCATGTTTCTCCTTCGTGGTAGCTGGTGCAGTGCTGTGTTTTGAACCTGAAGAGGGAAACCCCAATGGATTTCTAGACCCTAGACTGTTACGCTGTCCTTTATAAAGGAGTTCAAAATGTAGTCACTTCTCTAGAGCAGACAAGTATACTTTTAAACATTCAAGCTACACACAGAATTTAAATGCAATGATTTAATTCTACTAATAATCCTCTGATGTAGGTTTCTAAAGCTGTTTATGTGCTGAAGTGATGTAGGTCCCTCTTTCCCTAACACGTGTCACTGCACGTCTTGCATTTTAATTGCCATAAGCAAAATATATTAACAATTCAGATCAGGTATAAATACTTAACAATTTGCAATATGATACTAAGCAACTAGTAATATATTACACCTACAGTTAAGTTCCTCTAAATAACAAAACCGTATGTTACACAAACTAGATCTACAGACAGTCTCTGGAAAAGAGTACCAGAAGATGTATTTCACAAAAGTCCTTTATTAACCAAATCAAAAGCTCCTGAATACACACAGAATGTGTTTCAGTTTCCCGCATACACCTGACCACAAGTACTTAGAGCCATCAGTGCTACTGTAATAACACCAAGAAGCTGTATCAGAAAACCCATCGTGCAAACTTGGAAATCTATGCCAGTTTAATGAAGTCACGTGCTTACTGTGGAACTGTATCAGTGAAGCAGAGAGCTCAGCACAATAATTGCTCAAATATTTTGCTCCTCTGCTTTACCAAAGGGTACAAGGCAATTAAGCGCAGTGGAAGAACTCCACCATTGCTTCTGCATGGCTTTAAAAAAAACAAAACAGCCTCTGAAGTACAATGGTCTAAAAGCCACAGCTTCCTTTCTTCAGAGAAAGAAGAAAATGTTTTCCTTTCCAGACTCACTGAACTACATAGGTCAGAAACACATTTGTAATCCTAAAGCATGCCTCAAAGCTTCCCAACTTGTTTTACACTATGGAAATAAATATCCTGGAAGAGAGAATAGAATTTTGGCTGCTTGCATTTACCACTAACAACAAAATCACTGATGCTGGAGCCTTACCGCTTACTCTGACAGCATCAGGATAGTGTTGCTAGAAGTGAATATTTACAGTGGGAATCTTGCAGATCCACAGAATAATTATTTATCAAGTTTAATGGCATTTCTCTGAAAGCATACTGTTAAATTTAACACCTACAGAGCCACGCCGCTGCAATGCAAGAGACAGGGACCACTCAGTTTGACAGGTACAACTGGTACTACCTTCAACTCATGTGAAATTGTTAAACAAGTTAAAAGAATAGCTCTGCCCCCAGCAGAGTACAGGCTTTGGGGTTTTCTCAGGGTTTTGCTGTTTTACATCTGAACCTTTTAAGACTTCAGACTGATAGCTCTCCCTGAACAAGGCCTCCGCTTTCTCTAAGCGGCAAGAAGTGCATCGATAAGCTCTAGCACAAGTTCCTAATTTGCTGAAAGAGGGGATTCAAGTGCTGCTTCTAGAGCAAAGAACAGACTGACCTAACATAAAACCAAAGCAAACCACTTTATGATACCCAAGGGTTCATCAGGTAAGCTGTGTCTGGGGAGCAAGTACTCTCAAATATTTTAGTCATTACAAGTCTAAGGTTGACGTCTTCCAATTCCTTAGCACCTTTTTATTTATAGCACACAAAAAATGACATATTTCTGAGCAGTTCCATGAATACATTTTTTCCAGCCCTTTACAACTCCTGCCATCCTTCCAGTACTGACTGCATTAACTTTAATATAGCATTTTTCTCCCCGATTAAAACAAAATGGTTCTCATATGATTTCTTCTAAATGTGACTACCACCATTACTGAAGACTTAAAAGGTTACATGAACAGTAATTCAGATGAGAGAGCACCTGCTTCAGTGAGATTTTCCATCTAAATTCATCTTCTTCCTTACTGCATTAGAAAAGGCAGCATTTGGTTGTGTTTCTTTTTTCTCTTTTTACTAACAACAGTAACAGCTCACCAAACAAAGTTTTCAATTCCTGTAATCTATTAAAAATACACAGCAGGTAAAATTCATTCTAACAAAATTATAACACCCTTTTCCCCACAATAAACCAAAGAAGTTGGCCAAGAATTAAACAACTAGATCTTCCAGATTAGCTTAGCAGCAGGTTGTATTCCACAGGCTGCAAACCTAGAAAGGAGGTGATCAGCTTTCAGCCAGGTTGGAGCTGCAACACACCACTGCAGTAGAATTAGAATCTTCATAAACATCACACCTTCATGACTTAGGATATGTCAGGTAGGTGGAAGTTAGTTAATCTTCAATACACATGGAGTTTAATGAAAATATCTACATGAATTTCAGAGTAAACTAAAAGAGTAACTAAAAGCAATTTATCTGGAAAACATACCTATGCACAAAGTTATGCTTATGCATTACAGCAAGTCCAGCAGCAATCTCACATGCCATTCTCTGCAGCAGCATTATTTGTGACTCTCCTTTAATGCGTTCCTCCTCATTGCAGATGTAAGTTTTTAGGTCACCCTGTAAAAGAAATTGAAAATACTGATCAGCCTTGTATGCTAGTTCAATCTGAAAAGTATTTAATAAAGAATCAACTAACCACATTATTAACCACATTTGTGCTTACTAACAAAATCTCTTCAAGTTTCCAGTCTCCATAAAGACTCTTACAGAAGTCATTTAAGGCAAGTGGTATTGTCCTTTTAAGGGTTTTTAATCTAATCATTTAGTCACTAACATCCTAGATCAGACTGCCACATAAAACCTGACATACAATAACATTTTCCATTAAAAACAGTTTAATGAGCTTCTGCTTTTAAATGAGATGAGTTTTCAGCAAAGCTGATCAGGGGTGGAAGGGAAAGACCAGAGTAAAGGGTTTCAGACATTGCCAGCTTTAGATATACACCAAAGCTTTAGATATAAAAAGCATGGCAGTACACCTCACTCCACTCAAAGCATTCAGAGGATGGCAGCAGTTTTACTGAACCTAGGCAAAGGTGAGCAACAGACACAATTAATGAGACCACAGAAAACAAACAGCCATGAATATAAGGAAGAAATTCTTTACTGTTAGGCTGGTGAGGCACAGGAATGGGTTGCCCAGGGAAGTTGTGAATGCTCCATCCCTGGCAGTGTTCAAGGCCAGGTTGGACAGAGCCTTGGGTGGCATGGTTTAGTGGGAGGTGTCCCTGCCCATGACAGGGGGGCTGGAACTAGATATCTTAAGGTCCTTTCCAACCGTAACTATTCTATGATTCTATGAAAGAGAAAATAACTGAGGATTGTCTACTACTCAGGAAAAGGAAGACTAACTACAGTAAGCGAATCCAAGTAAGGGAAGAGAACAAGTTTCTAATGCTATTATTGCTCCTACTTTTGCAGCTGGACTTCTAACCTAGCACTCCTGTATCTTTTGTTATTTAAAATAGACACTTCTCATAAGTTTTGCAAATTATTTCAGAGGACATTTTCATATTCACACTGCACAATATATTACATCACTACTTGCTGCATCAGTCCATGTCCATTGTCTGCCTAAATCTTGGGCCAGGAAGGAGACTGAAGGGGAACCTCTGATGTTCAGGAAAGACTGAAGAACACTAAACTTCCTGCTTCTCTGGTGCTCATGTACATTATGGAGTTAGAACCGAAGCCTTTCACGCTTCCTTAACATGGTTAACTGGGAATGACAATTTACAATTCTAGTAGTTCAAGCAGTAGACGTCTGTGTGGTGCATTAAAATCTAAGAGGGCAGTGACAGTTGAGGTGACTGGCTGGACAGTCACAAACCTGGTTTGTATTGAATAATGTAAGAAGTAAGGGACGGACATTCTACTTCAAAGATGACACTACTCCTATGTAAAACGACTTCATTTCATTTTTTTAAAGCATTAACAGATTCTACAGTACACTCAAGCAGCTATTCTACCTTTTACACATACCCACTTAGGCTGCAAGAAGCTATACCACATTTGAGAAAGCATGCATAACTTCTAATATTTTAATGTTGTAGAAGCCTTCATTACACTCTTTATCCTTAGCTACTAATTAGGTAACATTTATGTATTTGCATCTTACAGAATAACACTTTTAAAAATGTTTCCTGAAAGATTCTTCTGATCTACAATTACAGATTGAATGTGCTACGAGCTCATGTATATATGTATAAACATTATATATAAACACACACAGCCCTTCCTACCTTGCCAGAGCAGATTTACTAGAGCAGAGTTACAAAGAACTACAAAACAGTGTCCGTAACACAGATTCCCAACTGCAAAGCCAGAGCAATCCAAGCAAGTACCAAACATACAGCTTCACTGACTGTAGGTGGCAGCAAGCGCCTGAAGAAAACCAAACTCACCAAAATTGTCATTCATTAATACAGCAACTGGTTACTTGGGGTTTGTCCCAGTTGGATTAAGTTCCTATGATGCCCGAAATGCACCAAGGAATTACTTTTTAATTTTTAACCACGTTAGTAACAGCAGTGCTGTGTGGCATCCCTTATTTACTCAATAATTCATGTAGGCACACGTTTTCATAGGAAATACAACTTTTATTAAATCCAGCACCTTGAAACATACTGGTTTTATTTTTCCAGTCTATTCTAATTAGGGCTACAATCAAGGTTAAAGATACAAAACCAGGCTTTTTTGTGGTATTGCTTTAAAAGGACATTGCTTATACCAAACTGGGGGGGAATCCATCCCTCAAGTGCTGGACTGCCATCCAGAGGCACCTGGACAAGCTGGGAGAAGGATCCAAAAGGAACCTTAAGAAACACTGGAAGGACAAATGCAAAGTCTTGCACCTGGGAAGGAAAATCCCCTTGCAACAGGACTGACCAGCTGGGCAGCAGCTCTGCAGAAAGGGACATGGGGATCTTGGCAGACAGTAAGCCAACTTGGTAGCGTGCCAACACCTACACATCAAAATTTCAATAATCATGCCTGAGAAAATCTCCTCTCTCCAACTTTCTCTGTCTCTTGCCTCTTCCCTCCTCTCCCAGGACTCCACAAAGCACTAAAATTTGCCTTTCCTCCCATCCTTCTCTGTTCTATTCAGGATCAGTTCAGCCATCTTTATAAGTCTTAACATGCTTTTTCTCAGTAACAGCCACTAGCTGGAGGCATATTTATGTACAGCACTCCTCTGCAATTTTGTTTGTGCTAATTCCTCATTGGGTTCATATGAATACCCAAACAAATAGTTGATATGACTCTGTAAACCAGTAGGTATTGATGATAGGCTTTTAGAAGTGTAAAGAGGCCACCACATCATATCTACTGAATACTTGCTACCCAGTTGGAAAGCTACCTGCCAAGTCACACATAACACACCACATAACCCTCTGAAGTTCAACAACTGAAACACCAATCTGCCTCCGCCCTCCAACACTGCTTCACTAACTACCCACAAGCTACAGGGCATTCCAAGCAAATACTGCATCCCTCTCTTCTCATCTGCTCAGGGAATTGCAAGACTTGAAGAGTTTCTTTAAGTATTTGATAGGCAAATCGGCCTCACAATACACATGCTACTTCCACATCTGAACAGCTTTCCTTTCCTCATAAATTATGTCAATCCACTAGGGGATTTGCTGTGCTGACAAAATGCTGGACACATAAGGCTGAGTAATAAATTAAAGTTAATAAGCCAGTTACCACTATTTTTAACATGGCATCATTCTGCAGTGTTTAACAGTGAACAGTTAACTATTCATAGAAGCCTGCACCAACATACTGAGCAAACTAATACGGGGAAGGGGGATGTGCAAGAACTTACTGAGCATTTCTTTTTATATTTACAATTTTTTAAACAATTTTAACACCAGCAAAGGAAAATTAGCTTAAATCCTCTCTCTGCAACCTACCTCTCTTGCTCCTTGCCAAGCTCTGCCAAGCAAGGAACATGGATCAACTGAGATTACATTACAAAATCAGCTAAATGTTAGGAAATACAGCTGCTGTATATGCAACCAATCTCAAGTAACAGAAATGCCTAAGTAGTTTATAGGGCCATGACAAGTCAGCCTGCATGACATTCAGCATTGCTACTGTCACAATTAGCTCTAGTATCTCTGCACAACAGTTTCCAGTGCCTCTGATGAAGATCTTTCAGTGCCAAGGAACCTGGGAACTGATAATCCAACAGGGTTGCCTGAACAGCCAACAGAAGGTCAAGTGGCCCTAAAAGGGTTAAAAATCCAGTGATTATGACTTTGAAGGAGTGTGAAGAAATGAACACTGTGCCCTCTAGACTGTGGTCAGTAAAACAGCCACATTTTTCATTACTTAATATACCAAACTTGCAAAATGAGGTCCACATTGCCAAAAGAGCCTCAAAAGAGCTTGCCATCTGAAGACACTTAAATTTCCTATCAAATACAGTTAAGATTTGCCACCTTTTTTCTTAATCATCAAATTCTTAATCACATAAGTACAAGGGATTAAAACAAATGTATGTACATATACAACACCAGTAACACAAGGTAAAGAGCTTTAGCATAGCACTATCCTACTGCTAACAAAACAGGACCATGTTTCTTAGACTCTTGTGTATTTTGGAAGCACCTTCGTACCCTCTGATTTGCCCCATTTCAGAAAAAATGAAAGCACAAAAGCAGCACTCAGCTTTCAAGATCACTTACTCACAGCCTAAAGCACCCAACTAACCACCAACCCAGCCACAGTGATAAAAAGCAGCTTCTAGAATATCAGGGCATTGACACTCCACTAAAAACCTGTCTACTAAAAAAACCCCAAACAAATGGTGCTGTCTGGCTTCCCTCACATTTTTTCCCTTCTTCAAGCCTCTTCTCTCCCCCCACTCCAACAGCGCTACCTCCCATACTAGGCCCTGGGACTACAACAAGGATTTAGTGACACAGAGCAATACTGAGCTAACTTACTGCACTGTCTCAATCTCTGCACAAAACTCTTCAAATGAGAACTGTTTTGTCTGCCTAGCCCCTGCATATTTGTGTGCACAGTGAGTAAAATCCTATGATGTCTAGGAGATAGTCAGTTCCACCAAGTAAGAACTCTTAAGTGAGCCAGACTTTCAGAATGAAAGTCATGTTTAACTCACTGTAATATATAATTTCTTAAAAACAAGTTTTAGCTCACTTGGAATAGAAATCAGCAGAGACATTTATTTTCCATTCCAAAGAAATTACCTAACTACATTCAAATTTATAAAACTACCACTTCGGCTGTCAAGCTTACCGCCTGCAGTTAAAGTGAAAATCTATTTTATCCCCTTAAGTAAAATCCTTTCCAGATTACTCTGCAGGATCATGACAATTTCTGGCATTAATCATCAGGCATCAAACAAGGATATTATTTTTTTCTGTATACTTTAAGTAGGGCAATCTTTAAAAGTTATTCTGTCTTCAAATCCAAAGTTGGATTAAATGGCATAACTATTCAAAACCATGGCTGCATTTAAATCTAATTTAGATGTGTATGTGTTAGACTATAAAATGCAATTCATTTTCAAGAGTCCTTTTAAAGAATCTCCAATTTGAGTAGGAGGCTTAAACAAATGGTCAGTAAAAAAAAACAACATTATCTGGTTAACCTTAGGCACCTACTTTTTAACTCTTAACAAAACTGGAGCATTTTACTTTGATCAGTCACTGAGGTTCAAGTGTTTCTTCCATTTAGAAAAGAATGATTTTTATTAGCACTTCTGCCTCATTAATTCAGCACAGCTAGTAAATTTGAGCAAAAGAGCAGTAATGAAAAATACGGTTATTTAAGGTCACAGATTAACTGATGTTTCTCAGGAAAACTCAAACGTTCACGTTGACTCACTTATATTGCTTGAGGCAGCTGAGGCAATAAGAACTTTGGTGCCATATTTGTGCACCTGAGTTTAAAGGAGAATTCTATAGCAGAGAGGCTGGTAAAAAAGGGTGCTTGCTGAATTTTATGAATGTAAACTATCTTACTTCTAAAAGACTTATTTCTTAGCAACATAAACGTACTTCTGAGTACATTTCTGCCTTGGCACTTTCCAAGGAATTCTGCTTTAAATGATACCTAGATCACAAACTTTAAAAGCAGCTACTGAGCCAATGTTTAGACAGTCACCTTGAGTCTGAGTTTTAATAATGTGTCATGCTAAAATAAAGCAATTTATACCTTTCCAGATCATGGATCCAGCACCATATCCAAATTTTAGTCTCTGAAGACTGTGTATACTGGGCAAAGTTCAAAGTTTTTCTAGATGTGTACCACCCCCTTTCTTACAACATCCACGTAAATTCCAACACATGCCCAGGAATGCAGTGACTGAGCAAGTTTTTTTGTTCAGCTACCCTGCCCATCTTCAGTGGCCTTTGTGGTGCTAACAGCAGAGAAGAAAGCGGCAAGAACACCCTTCACCATACTTTTTGGTGTTCAGGAAGCGTAAGGCAGTGCTTGGGAAGGGAAAGGAAAAAGAAGAAGGATAAATAAGTAGGGAAAAGAAGAATGCAGTAACAGAAGGGCTCAGGAAGAGACTAGGATGATACTGAAAATTCTAGCTATTAAAATACACATTACTGATTCTGAAGTAAGCCTAGCATTGCATTTTAGCCCAAAACTGCACAGCATGGGTAACACTTGAGCACTCTGGAAGGGAGGCAGAAGAGAGGAAATTCTTGTGTCAATTTTCCTCAATTAGCATTTTCATAGAAATGGTAATAAAAGCACATTAAGGTTGCACAGACAGCAAACAGAACTTAGGATGTAATGCAGGCATGTGCACGTGATACTGGACTGCAATGAAAAGCTTCCTTCCATGACCTCTTTTCCCCTCCAAGCTCCCTGTTACATGACGTAGGCAGACTGAAAGAGACTAGTAAAACCATTATCAAAGACAGAACAGCTATTTCCCTCTTCAGAACATTCCACAGCACCTAGAATTTACATGATCATCTGCAAAGAATATAAACAAAGAACTACAACTGCGGTCTGTCTCTAAACCAGAAAAAGTCTTCTGAAACTCTGGCTATTCAAAAAAACTTCCCAGAAAGAAAATAATTTCATGAGCAAAGGGCAGTAAATAAACTACAAACAATTTGCATCGATGGAAAGCCTTTTGTGTAAGTGCACTTACCAAGTCACAGAACTCAAAAACTAGGAGATAAGGAATGGCTTCCACACATTGCCCAATACACTGGAGAACATTTGGATGCTGAAGAATGCTGGAATGAAAAAAATGCAGTTAAAGCCAGAAAGATCAAGTGTATGTTATTTGCAATACAATACACTGAAATCCCTAACAGAACTTTCAACACACAACATCAGGTGGGGGCGGCACAAACAGATTGAGCAAGTATCCAAAGCCACAGATTCCATTTTGCACCTTTGTATCTCCTTTGTACTACTGCAGAGTATCACTGAGCAGATGAAACTCTGAGGATCTCAAAACCACAATAGCCAGCACTGCCACAAGAAAGTCACACTCATCCACCCTTATACTAAAAATAAGCATACACAACTGGTTTGTGAACTACAGCAAGGAACCAATCTGGCTAAAAGCTAAACATTTTTTTAGCCAGCTTAATTCCCAGCCAAATCAGTTACTACTTCATAATTGCTTAAAAACACTTGTGTCAATACAGCAGAAGGAATGAGATCTTTTTCTTCTGCCAACAATTTAAGCCTAAATGCAAATATAACTAGGACATTAAAAAGCATTAAGAATAGAAAGCTCTCTGTGACCATTCACTTGTAGCATTTTCAGGCAAGGTAAACCACATTGTGATGTATGTCTAGTGAACTCCAACAGGCCTCTCTTTTCCAGTCATCTACAAAAGCCATTAACTTGTGGCAGTTAGCTCTTCAGAGAATTCTCGCTATCAAGAGAAATTACATTCCCTCTCATACACAAAATTCCTTTCTAGTATACAAAAATTCAACCCCTAGGAATGAGTATCCTCCAAGCATAATACAACAGAAAGAACACCAAACAATCCTCTTCATTGGCACTTCCAGTCAGATCAATTGCTTTCTCAATTGTAGGCTTCTCCTGGATTGTAATTCAGGCAGGGTTTTTGGTGCACAAGCCTCCTGGCAAGCTGCCTGAGCCAAAGTAGTTTTTATCAATTAATTTTTTCAAAAAGGGAACTGTGAAGAAAATAATGTGTATTTGACAACAGACAAAGCCTTGCCAGTTCCCCTGCTTCTAACAGGAAAGCCAAGTACAGATGTTAAACCTCAATTCCCAGAGGCAAGTAACTGGGCATAAGGCTAGTCTGCAGCACTGGGAGTTTGTTCCAAACAGCTGTAGAAGAAAATCTGATAAACTAAACCAAGTGCGTTTTTCAGTCATGAGCAATAACTACCAAACGCATTTAAGCAAAGACCTTATTTTTATTTCTAAGCAAACTCAACTTTTGCTCACTTTGGATAGACTGTTTTTCACTTTTTAAAGACAAGCATCTCTGTTACAAGGGAGGGCAGCAGAGACAGTATCACTGAAAGGAAACGTCCCTAAGCCACATGCAGTAGTATGAAGTGTGTAAGTTAACCAAGCTGTGAATCATTACTTACTAGTATGGTTCTCCATTTCTTATAAACTGTTCTTGCTCCTTTGGACCTGCACTTGCCTTCAACTCCTTCACTATTACCCTTGCTACACTAGTGCCTGTGTAGATCTCTCCAAGCAGAACCTGAAAAAGATCAACATAATCACTGAATCATGGTGTCCTTAGCCAAAAGGAAAAGAAAAAAAAAAAAAAGAGTTTCCCTGCAAGAGAAACAAGAGCTAAAAACATGCTGCAAGAAAGATCTTTCATTGTCAATACCTGCAGAGCTTTGCCAATTCACATGCCTATTTAATAAATCTTAACAACTGATCTACACAAACTTCGAGAAAACATGTTTTCTAGTGAAGACCACTTATTTACTTAGGATTTTTTTCCTTGAAATAATTGTTAATAACAGGAATGTATTAATTCAAACCCACAGAGGGAAGTGTCTACCTAGGAAGTAACTGTAGACAGAAACTATGTGCAAATTAAAGAAGCACTGATCAGTGCTATGATTAAACCTACAAAGTTCATGCAAGGAAATATCCAGTTTCAGTTTTTCTTATGTTATTACCTTCTTTTTTTATTAGAGTACCATTATAAAGGAAATACAGTCACCTTACCCATTAGGAATAAGATTCAAATTGCAGTACAATATTAAAAGAGAACTTCTCACCTTTCCAAACCAGCCATTTCCAATTTCCTGGATATAGTTTAGACTCTGACGTGCAACTTGAGGCTTTGATCCATCTGTCACACACAATGGAACAAATGCAACATGTATCAAACCACTCAGATGGCCAAAGTTACCAACTGTTGAGGAAATAGTGCAAGCTCCTACAATATTTATTCCCAATGACAGGACTACATTCAGACCAAACAACAAAACCTAGTTAGACATACATGAAGTACGAAGGTAATGTGACTACAGCATTGAAGTGAAACTTCTATCAACTGCAGCTTCTAAACCATACTAGAGTATACCCCCTACAAAAGCAGTGATTCTCCTTACAAAATGTAAAACTTCTTGGTTTTTAACATATTCAGTAAGAAAGCAAAAAAGGCTGAGTTCTAATTCCAATACAAAAATGTATCATACCCTGTAGTTAGATAAGGCAAATAACCTAAAGCTTCCTATGCAAATAAAAGCACAAAAACCAAGACAACATTCACTGCTTGTACATCTTAACATTTATAGTTACATAGAGAGTTACCATTTTAAGAGAAGGGGTTTGACGGCTTTATTTTTCAGCCCAACTGCCCTACTTATAGCTCCCATCTGGAAGGAGGACATTTTCCAACTAAAAATACTTCACATAAAGAGCCCAGAGAGGGAAAGGACAGAAAACAAGACCCAGATCTTGACAGAGGATGGACAGTAACATCAGCAGACTCTATGTAAATAGAGGAGATTCAGCATTGTTTATCCCTCTGCTGCCTAATTGGTTAGGAACATTAATAAACAGATGAACACAACAACTTTTTATCACTACTACTTGACTAACTGAGAATTCTAGCCCACATTTTTATGTCCACAAACTACATTTACACCAGTATCATTTTACTGGAACAGCTATAGCTGTATAATACATAAGGAGCATTGTCAACGTGCTCCTAAGCATGGAGTAGGCTTAGGAGCTGTATCAGTACAGCTGTATTTTCACCAGAGTACCTTACTCAAGTACGCTGCCTTATTTCTGGCAAAATAACTTTGACAGAAAGTATAGCTTTAACAATTATGGCAATGTAGAAAAGCTGACATTAATTTCTTCACAGAGGATTTTCCCTCACTCATGAAAACACTGAGGAGTAAAAGTTTTGTGTATTAAAGGCACACTGGCAGTTTCGTGGAATCTGTAGGTACAGAAATTTTAATAGAAGCTTCCCTGAACATCTTATAATTAAGCAACACAAGCAATGTATGTAAAAATGTGAAGTAGTATAATATGAGAATGGCTACTTTATGCTAAGTTGTACTTGTAATATTTAAGATGCTTTTTTTCTCTTACAAAACCTGTATTTTAAAAAATACATTCCAAGAAACCTTCCACATAGGGAAAAGAAATCTAGTGCTCTCTCTTAACAACAGCACATTCACAGCATGAAAAGTCTACAACGGCATTAAGAAAGCAATGCAGCTGAAACCGTAGCACTGCAGTAAAGCAGGAGATTCACTCTTGTTTCCACTTGAGGCTAATTACTAAAATCCAATGACAACTTAGCCATGAAGAAAACCACTGAAGAGCAAAAGTCACCAACATCCTAGACTACTTCAAACCCTTTATGTATACACAGGCATATTGAAAGTACTCCAGAGAGGTTTATTTAAGCTAGTTTCATTCTCTTAAACTAACTTACATGGCAGCCTGCTGTAAGTTAAGATTTTTGAAGTAATACTTCACATTTTATCCTGTACCCTACAAAATATAACTCTATCTACATGTATGTAACAATTTGTTACAGTAAAGTCAAACAATCATCCACTCTCCATTTTTGACATTGAAATTATCCACTTTTGTTTTTTCATTAAAAAAGTGTTTTACCTGAGCGAGATGGAAACTGGGAGGGAGTTGGTAAAGCAATATTGGGAACTGAAAGAGTAAACACTTCTGCTGGAGACTGAACAGATGGAGTATCTTCTGCTGGAGGTGTAAAATCTATTTCATCATCAAAGTTATCTTCAAATTCCTGAAAAAAGAAATCTCAGTAAACAAGCTGATCTTTGTCTTAAAATTAGTACTAATACATTTCTTTCAGTTTGAATGAGCAATGGGAAGGAGGCTTAGCTATTTTTCAAGGACAGTAACAGATTTTGTTTTCTAATCCTTAGTTTCAACTCATTACTGATTAGAAGAGGTTAAAGTATCAAGTACTGCTTTCAATAAAAACAGGTGGCTTGTTGCTTTGTTAGGGTTTGTTGGGGGGAGAGGGTTTGGCAGGCTGGTGCATTTGGGGGTTTTGGGGGGGTTTTCTGGGGGGGGGTTGTTTTTCACTTTACATACTATCACTGGCTTCAAAGGAATTAACATCCACTACCCAGGCCGAATCTTCTCCATTTAGAAATGAGAGCAAAACTCAATTTTAGGAACACCAACAACCAATGCTCCAAAAGTAACTGCTTCTCGATGATAATTTCTCAAGGGTTTTGCTACAGTGGATATGTACCTTTGCTATTCTTACCCAAAAGGAATGTCTTAAACCCTGCCAGCAGACTAAAACAGACAAAAGGATACACAGAACAACAAGGTTCTTCACAGCTAAATTGTCAGAAGGGTATACTTTCACTGCTGATCCTGAGGGCTCGTAATGACTCTGAACAGACAATAAAGTTCCTTACTGCAGCATGGTCCAAGTACTGAAAATAAATAGTTGCAGCAATACTCTGCAGCATGTAGAAATACAGTTGCTGGCTATTTCAGAAGAGAGAATGTACAGAGACACTTAAGTGTCACTAACTGCAGTGCATTATCACAAATCATCATGGAAGTATTCTGGATATCAGAATGCCACTTGTATATACATTTGTAACTTCAGATGCTTACCTTGAAATCGATCTCAGGGTCTTTACAGCAGGAAGCACAGTTTGCAAGCAATGTTACCAGTACTACTAGAGCACATATAGACAGAATCACAAAAGATGAGGAAACTTCAGCTGTAGCTCCTTCTCCTAGAAATAAGCATGTATGTGGTGTTAAATAAATGTTTAGCATTTTAAGAAGATCCTTCAAAACATATTGTCCATCTGCATTTATTTAAAAGACAGAGTTTGAACATTTAACTCTGTGGATATGAACAAAATAAGAGGAAACAGAGCAGAAAAGAAAGACTGGCAAAATACATCTATGTTCTACCACCTGCCTGCACCATTCTGGACTTGATTCAAGCTAAGAGGCCACAGCCAACATGACATACCAGAGTAGGTTATGAGCAGGGATAGTCCTGAGCCTCAGGATTCTGTTTAACTCAACAAATTTTTACAGATATCTAAACACAAATACTAGAAATCTGGCCTTTATGAAGACATTTCTGATGAGCTAACACATCTGTCCTGAGAGAAAAGGCAGCTAGAAGAAATCCTCACTTAAACTGTGTACAACTTGAAAATACGTTACTGCAAAGCAATACCATCTCTTCCAATAAATGCATTCGTGACAGTCTGCCAAATATACAAGTTGCTTTCACAGATGCAATGGATCTAATCAGCTCCAGCCCAATTTCTACTTGTGATTCATTAGGTGATTTGTCTCCATTTCACAATTTTAGACATGATCCCTAACCATACTGCAAACACACTTCCAAGTAACTATATATAAACAATTTACAACACATTTTCTGTGATTAAGCCAGGTTATTATTATTCACAGAGGATCAAAATGAAGTGGCATTTTATAAAAAACTTAAGTCTTTGCTAAGGGAATTGAACCTATTTTCATCCCTATTTTCATCTTAAATAGAGAACAAAGATATATAGCTCCTTGGGAGACCACAGCACACATCTTGGGGGTTTGTTTTTTTAATGATACTACCACAGGGACTGGAAAAGTAGTTGGACCATAGAATCATAGAATAGTTAGGGTTGGAAAGGACCTTAAGATCATCTAGTTCCAACCCCCCTGCCATGGGCAGGGACACCTCACGCTAAATCATATCACCCAAGGCCTCGTCCAACCTGGTCTTGAACACTGCCAGGGATGGAGCAACCTCCCTGGGCAACCTATTCCAGTGCCTCACCACCCTAACAGGAAAGAATTTCTTCCTTATATCCAATCTAAACATCTGACTAAAATATATTTAGATATGACATCAGTATTAATGTTTAACACTGTCAGGTGACTTGGAACAATTGGATTTTATGGGAACATCTGAGTATCAATGGGACTCTTTGGCAGCAAACTACAGTGTAAATGAAGCCTCAGAAATAAAATGAGAAGTTGATCACTAGTTAAGGGACATACAAACTTGTCCATCTAACTCTTAAACCTTCCAAAAACTATAAAAATTAAGAGATTTCCAGAAAAAGCTATAGCTTTTCATCATGTTCCACAGAACAATTACAGAACATTTAATTACATGTAAAGAGTAAATTGCCATAATCAAAATACTGCTTTAAAGAGTGTCAACATACTCCTGGAAGATCACATATTTTCTCTACAACTAGGAACATTATCCATACAACTATAAAGGTTAGCCAAAAAGAAAGTTTTTCAAACAACTGATGCTGTTTCTAGTTCCCACAATAGCTCTGGCATTCCAGCCTCATTAGAGAACATGAACACTGTCTGCAGACACTATCTACGTATTGTTTAAACACAGATCAACCACAATATGAGGCCCCTTGCCTCCTTTTAGTCAAAATTATGGTAAGAAGAAAAAAGATCCCTGAAGACGGGGATGTCTTCAGGGATGTTCATGTTATGTTCATTTAAATCAAGTCTTCTACAAAACACCCATGTGTTTTTCCATCTGTAAGCATCAACAAGAAAAAGGGGAAAGGTAACAGCTGATTCATGATTACTTCCTTCAGATGTTCAGTAGCAAAGCAGACTGACGATTACCTAAACCACAAATAGAAGCATTTGGTGAAGTCATTAGCTAAATTACTGTAACAAACACACAGGTAACATGGCTTTAGATAAAATTTAAGAGATTCCCTTTGAACTTCTAAACCAAGCCACAGAAGGTAGCTTTACTACAAAAAAGTAAACATATTTATGCTACCAGGTATCACTGATTAGAAGTATTATTTTAAAGACATTTCTCTAAAACCATCCCACCTAATTTCTAAACAACTTCCTCACCACCAACTCCACTGAAATGAGAAGTCAACTCGCCACAGACTATCTGCTGAACAGACACAGATTTTCCCCCGCTAACACCACCTGGAAACACATCACCACAGTTACAATATATAGTCCTCCCAGTAGAAGATCAAGACTTCTGAACCCTCCGGAATGCTTCATCCAGTGTACCAGATGCCTCTGGGACAGACAGAAAGGCAAAAGTAAATCCCTATATGAACTCTGACACCAAGGGCACATTTTCTTATTCAGAGAACACATCACTAGTATGTCTTAAGACACTGCTATTCAAAGACTAACTTCAGAGCAGATCCTTAAGAGGGAATTACAAAGCATCTCAGCTGTCATGTGTATACAACACTAAAACAGCTATCAAACTTTTATTTTGGGTTTATGGTTCACTTTAACATCTCCTTTTGGAAGCCCACATGGCTAACATGCATTTTACAGTGTCTTCTGCTCCCCACAGGAGATGAGCATTATTACTTCTCATTAGCATCCTCCCTGCTCCAAATACCATATCTTCTTCCAGATGGTCTTTTTGATCAGCCTCTACTGAAACTTGGGAGCAATTATTCAAATCTGCTCTACCACTTTCAATTTTACTGCTTCTTTTACAGACCTCACAAGGGGCTTATGCACCTCAAAGCACATCTATTGTAACTGTATTAGCTGGACCAGTACAATATGCTACCTCTACCTACAGACTTCTCACTCATGCCCTTAGACAATGACAGCTACAGCAGCGAGACCATGATGTGTGTTCACATAAACATTATCATAGTTGCTCCAACTCCGGATACCACTTTTGACCTCTCTGAAGTTATAAGTTGTCACAGCAAATCCAACAAGGAAGATTCAGGCTCCTGGTGGTCCTATACCAGTTTTCTGGTTAATTTAACTCAAAATTAAACATCATGAACACTAACAATCATAAGCTGTACTCACTGTACATGTCAGATACACTGCACATGTATTGAGTTACTTCATATGAAAGAAACAACATCTTTTGGTTGGAATTCCTTCTGTAAAGAAAACCTGCATATTTATCAAGCCTAAAATCTAAGTGTTTGACTGGTGTTTGACTGGTGTTTGACAAATCCCTACATTTAACCATCTCCTTTAGGTGTCCTGGAATGAATACAGAACCCAAAAAAATACTGCTGCTCTTCACTATGTTACTTCCTAACCTCATGGACCTTTTATAATTCCCAAGAAAAAAAAAAACACCTCTGTGAACTAACAGCAATTAATTGGAGTAAGTAATGAAGTAAAAACAGGGGGTGGGAATAAAGATCCCCTTTGAAAAGGCAACTAACAATTTACAGTTCATTAAGAAGATGGAAGTCATCTGAACTTCCAGAAGCACAAGGCAAATTTCACATACAAAGATATAAAAAGATGCTTTAATACAAGAAAAACACCAATTATCATGGGCAAGTTCCTGCAACACTTACAGAAGAGCATTTCAGATGACTCACACAAGAGCTACTTAATAAGAATTACAGAATCCAGCTCCACTTGGATAAACTTTCCAGTCTCTCACATAGTCATTAATAACTGATATTTATTTTAATTTGCACTTCATTTAAAGAAAAATGCAAAGTATAAAATGATGGCAACCTGTAACTGGGCTAAGATTTATTATAAGTGAAGTTATTTTAATAGCTTGAATAAATATTCAGTAATGGAAGTCCCTGATTAAGTATTGGAACTGGTATTTGACAAAGTGCTGAAAAATCTGCCGCAGTACAACAACCTCTTTTGCATTTTCAACTATTTCTATCCAATGATTAATGCACTGGAGCTTAGTAAAATGACTTGGAATCAAAAAAGTAGAAAATGGTTAATAACTCCTTCTGTTTGTAAATTGTCAAAGTATGAAGGAACAATAGCTATTTATTGTAAGATTCTGACCAAAAGAGCAATCAGAAATAAATCCATTCAGTTAAATACAGAGGACCATTTTATACAGTCAGTACAGAAACATTTTCTTTAATTAAAAGAACTGTTAAAATACATTGAAAATTTAATTCATTTTAATCTAAATCTAGATAAAGTCCAATAAATACCATTCACAATTTCATAATGAACGCAGAAGAATCCTAACATAATAGATTATAAAAGAGAACATAATAAATTTACCCAACATATCATCCCAGTTTAAAATCCTACCATATTTAATGTAACCCTACGCAGTAACAACCTACTACATCTTAATATCTATCCAGAACTCGGAATCTGTTCTTTAGGAAAAGAACTGCATAACAGATCCAAGAAAATACTATATATAAAATGCCAACAAAATAAGGTTTCCTGTAGTTAAAATCAGTCTAGACTACTTTGGTCTGGTATATCCAGAACTACTGAAGCAGGAGGAAGAGGCCTGGATTATATCACTACTATATTAAACCAAAGCAGGAGATGCAGTGTGTCTGTGTTACTATATGTGTTACTGCAAGGTTAACACAACAGAATGCTTTACAAAGATCTGTGCTAGTAAATGTTCCATCTCAAAATGGCATCTAGATAGTCCTAAATTATCAACACGGAAAATAAGGTCTATTTTCAAAGCCTCACAGTATTAAATACTGATTCTATGCTGTTATTTACCCACTTTTTAAGTAGTACATGGCATCACAAACAATTCAAAGCCCTGGCTGAGGTAGGTATTTATTTAACAACTATTGAAGCAGATTCTTCAGCATCTCTGAACACGGCTGTTCCATAAGCAAATTTTACACTAAAGTCTAAATTTGAGCACAGCACATTTGAAGTCAAACCCTGTACACAGGCAAGTACATGAACATGCTCACTGAAAATGATGATAAATTATACTGGCATTCTCAGGATCAAGTACAGGCATGAG